CTGCAGGGCCTGGGAGACGTGGCATTAGCTGTCCAGCCCCTTCAGAACAGGGTGAAGATGGACAATGAGCTGCTGGAAGCCCCACACCGACAGGCACGTGCAGAGGGCCAAGCAGGGGCTTTGTGGGTGCCCCTCATCATCTCTTGGGCCGACAGCACAGCAGCCTCCACTGCGGCCCATCTTGATTAAGAACAAAGGATCCTCCTGAGATACAGAGGGCTCCTCGAGGCTGGCGCCGGCTGTCTGTCTCCCAAGTCCCCAGACAGGGCATCAGGAACAGGTGCCTGTATCCTTTGCGTGCAGTAGGTGAGCCAGGCGTTTGAGAACAAGGCAGACGCTGGGAGAGTGAGGCTGAAGGTGAAGGAGGCTGACGCCCCGGCTCCTACTGTGGAAGAACCAGCTGCTTTGCTGTCACCATGGACCCCAAGAACAAGGACGGCCTTTGAAAACACCCAGAGACAGGCTATGTTGGTCACCCACTTGCCTCCCACTGGGGCCACCATCAGTTGGTGCCATCTGCTCTGGACAGGACGAGAGGGTGGCGGCTTCCCGGTGAGGGCTTTCTGCTGTGACAGTGGTCCTCCCTGGTCCTTGTGTCAACACAGCCACGCCAGCACCCCAGACCCCAGGGGAAGTGCCGCCTAATTAACAGTTGTCTCCCAGAAAAATACTAACCTGGGATGTTCCCCCAAAAGCAGACCCCGAAACGAGAATTTGTGGGAGGGACCCTGGAAGAGCTAGTGAGGGAGCTGGGAGGGTGGGACAGGAAGCAGGGAACGCAGGCACCTCAGGGGCAAAGGGCTCAGGCCCCCAGACCTCCCGCCTGTCTCTCTTAAGGCATTTGTCCGCCTTCCCTCATGGGTGTGGCTGCTGCTTCACCCCTAGAGGCAAGAAGCCTTGTCCCCAGAGCCTCAATGGTCTCCAGAGCGGGCAGCGGGGCCTGGAACCGTCTGCCTCATTCCCTCAGAACTGCCCAGGGACAAACAAAAAGAGAGAGAGGACAACAAGACAGGGAGGGAGGTTCACGGGGAGGAGGACAGTTTCAGAACAACACAGGCTGCGTGTGGGTGAGGTCCTGAATAACCCCCCTCAGGACCCTCCCAGATGACACCCTCTGCTGGACTCAGGAGGGTAGGCTGGAGAGGGGGCAGGCATTGACTGCTCTTTGTTCCAGATGTGATCTTTGAGCCCCAGAATACTGGAGGCACTTGGAAAAAGTGTGGAGAAGACCAAAGGTGGCATGGAGAGCAGCCTGGGGGATGGAGGGGCTGAAAATCCAGAATTCCCCCAAGGGCATGCCCCAGAACGCTCACACATCGACCTGCATCAAACCAGACACTGTGCCAGGGGGCGAACTGAGCCCCTGAGAATTGTGAACCCCCTGCCTGGGGAGGGGGCTAAGCCAGAGGGTCCAGAGCTGACCCCTGGCCCAGCCACGTAGGGACTCTCTCAGATAATTCTGCTCAGTGCTCAACACTGCCTCACAGGTCTGTGGGGAGAACGGAGAGCGGAATCAGATGGCGGGCTAGCACGCAGTCTCGCCAAGTGCCGGGGCTGTTTACGTATTCACACATCAGTTTTCACACCAAGACTATCAGAGAAGTGCTGCCTTTGTGTCCATTGATGGTGGGGGAAACTGAGGCACAAAGAAGCACAGTCACCTGCTCAGTAAGTGACAGAGCCAAGATCTGAACCAGAGTCCACCTCTTAACTGCTACACTAAGCGTCAAGTATCTAAAAGCCAGCTCGGTGTAGACAGAGCACAGAACACTCCATCACAGTATCAGTCTTTCGTGTATTGTGCCAGAAAACAACATGCCACTCCATGGCCTCCCTGTGCCTCAGTTTCCTCCTGTGTAGAAGGGGGGTAACCACACCTGCATCTGAGGGTTGTGTGGGCTAATCTTTGCAATGCAGGGGAAGCTATGTGGAATCTAACGCTGGAAGCTATAGGTGCCTCTCTCATTTTTCACACGGTTTTACGCCTTGTCACTAGATGCTACTCCAGGAGACTGTTCATCTCACACACCAAAGGGCCTCATTCTTTTTAATGGACTGCAAAGCACGCCGGTGTGTGTGACAGAGCTCACATATTTAATTGTCCCAGTGGAGACAGTCTGGTTGTTTCTGGTCTCTTGTACCCATGGGCATTTGCTAAAACAGGTGTGAACACCCCTTTGGTGTTAACTGCTAGAAACATGAGCCCTGCCAAACGTCGGTGCGTTTAAACCTCGAATAGATAGCGCCTGATTACCTCCAAAGTGCTTCAGCCAGCACACTCCCGACCTCACCAGGAGGGTTTTCTCCTCCGCCTAGCCGCGCCAATTCTCACCTACAAACAGTCCACACTCACTACGAAATAACTAGAAAACGCACTTTGGAAGAAGAAAAAAGTTCCCATATCCAGAGCCACACTGCCAGTCGACCAACGTCATGTTGTAGGTCTTTTCAAACTTTAAATATAGACTGCCCTTATTTTATTGATATATCACATAAAATGTGTTCTATATGTGTGTTATAAAATTTTAATACAACGACAGATTCGCGCCTCCACAATCCGCTGTCACTTTTCTTATTTCTGCGTAGCCCCGGCCCCACCCCGTCAACGTGTGGAGCCCCCTACTCCTTCGGGGTGGGTGGCCAGAGTGGGTAAGAGGAGGGGCAGGTAGCGCAGCAAGAGCGCCAGGTCAGAGAGCTTCATCCCATGGGACCACCTCGCCTTGGGAGTCACTACTGCTCCTATTCTACAGATGAGGAAACTGAGGCACCATCACGTGGCCGGCCGGGGCAGTCAGAATTAGAAACCTCACCTGCCCCACTGAGGGGCTTCCATCAAAATCCTGACTGTCTCAGGGAAGAAAAAAAACTACATTAGTTCTGGGACTCCTGGGGGGCAGGCGGGCTCGCGCGCGTCCCCGACCTCCCGGGTCTGCGCCCGCGGCTGGAACCGATCCCCGCAGGACCCACCAGCCCCGCCCCGCGCTCGTCCCCGGAGGCCCGCTCCCCCAGAGGCCCGCCCCCGGAGACCCGCCCCCCGGAGGCCGGCCCCGGGAGATCCGACCCCGGAGACCCGCCCCCCCAGAGGCCCGCCCCCGGAGACCCGCCCCGCGCCCTCGAGCCCCGCCCCGTCTCCACCCTCCCACCCCACACAAGTCCCCTCGACTTCACTTCCGGCCCCGGGAGGAGCCTCCGCGGCCCCGCAGGTGCGTGCGCTGGGGTCACCCGCCCGAGCCGGCTCCTGAGCAGAATCCCCTGGGGCCTTCGAGTTGGACACCGGGTGGGGCCGCCCCCGCGAGCGGGACGCCTGCCCCCCTCCTCCTAGGTTTTGTGAGACACCTGGCCCCAGGCCTGGCAGGTGCCGGGGTCAGGGCGAGGGCCGGCCCGGGGAGGTGCCTGCTCCCGTGGGGTGTGACCTCTGGCCGCCTCGCGCAGTCCCGAGGCCCGCCGGCCATGAGCTCGAGGGCCGCCCCGCGGCTGCGGACGCTCCAGCGACACCTTGGCTCCCCGGAGGTAGGGGCCAGGCCCGGTTGCTGGGTTCCTGTCCCCTCGACAGCATGGTGACCCATGAGCCAGGGGACAGCGAGCTGGCTTCTGGGAGAACGAGGAGACGTCGTCTGGCCTCCTACGGCCTGCACTGACTGGGCGGAAGGAGGGCTGCGTGGGGAGGCCTCTGTGTGCGGAGATGCCCTTCAGTGGTGGGGGGAGGGGAGAGGAGGGGGCCCTAGTAGGGTGGGGAGGCCATGCTAGTGGGGAGAACTGGACGCAGGTCTGCGTTGTTAGGGACTGTGCTGCAGTGTTGACACCGCAGCCTCGTGGGGCTGACTCAGCAGTTCCAGCCCCTCCCCCCAGGGCCCGGGGCTGTTTACTCTAAGGCTGTTGCCCCACAAGGCTGGTGTGGATTCCAGGCTGGGCCCCACACACTCATCCCTGCCCCTCTCTTGTGGCCCAGGGCAGAGGCATGGAGCCGGTCAGCAGCCCACTGACCACACATGTGCTGGACACGGCGTCAGGGCTCCCGGCCCAGGGCCTCTGCCTACGTCTCTCCAGGCTGGAGGACCACGGCCAGCAGTGGACCGAGCTGAGGAAAAGGTAGGAAGGACACAAGTGCAGACCACCTCCCCCAGTGCAGGGCCCGTCCTGAGTCCCAGCCTGTGACCGGGCAAGGTGAAGGATCCCAGACGGGCAAGGAGTGCGAGCACTGAGGGCTGATGGTGGGCTGACAACTGCCAGACAGTCCCCCTTGGCCTCAGGACCCCCATGGCCTCCTGACTCTAGCAGCCTCTGCTTCCTCAGGCTGTGCCGTCCTGGTTGGACTGGCCCCTAGAACCGGGGAGCAGAGGCTGGGTTAAGGCCTGAGGCTCATCACCATGATTAACGGGGAAGCTTGTGCCAGCTGAGCACTGTCTGTTCTTTTTATTCTCACTACACCCTGTGGGCAGGCACCATAATTACCCCTTTTGGAGATGGGAGACTGAGGCAGCAAGAGGCAAGGTCAGAGTGGATTCCGCTGTGCTCTGCAGGCCCTGCTGGGGGAGGCATGGCCCAGGCTGGCTGCCACTGTGGCCCTGGGCTGGCCTTGTGAGCAGGTTCCCCAGACCGACTTGAAGGAGGCAGGCTCCCTCTGGTGGTTGGGGTGAGGGGCTGGGCCCCAGGGTTCAGGGCCTGAGGGTAAGGAGCCCGCCCCCTCCTTGTTCAGCCCTCCACAAAAGCTGGGGGTCCAGGTCCCACCTCATGGTGTCGCATAGGGGTCACATAGACCATCCCCAGCCCGCCCATAAACTGCCCCGACAGGCTACTCTTTCCCTTCACAGTACAAACCCTTGAAAGCACAGCTGGTGGGAACAATAAGATGTTTTTCTGGCGGGGACTGGGGGCCCTCAGAACCCTCCAATTGGACACTCGGTGCCACTGGAAACACGCCGCCATGTGGATGGGGGTTTGGGTCATTATTGACCCAGAAAGCCTTGTGCAATATAGTCAATGAAAAATGCAGGTTATAAAACAGTATGAAAAGTATAATCCATTTTATTTTTTTTATGTTTGTATATAAGCATATTTAGGCATAGAGAAAACCTGGAAAAATATGTGCCAAATATAAACTGATTACTGCTCATGGGGTAGATTGTGGAAGAATTTTTTTCCCCTTTCTGCTCCTCTGTATTGTGATTTCCTAGAAGAACAATGTGGCTGTGTCCTTAAGGCTGCTCCAGAACGAGGCTCTAGAATCCATCCTGCTGCAGGGCTGTCCTGGCCCTACTCACCCGGGTCCCAGTCAGGCTGCAGGGGTGTCTGAGGCCACGGGCACGCAGACCCAGGAGAGCCAGGCGGGGCGCGGCTCCGCAACCGCCTCTGCAGCTCCCGCTTCCCCTCGCCAGCTACACCGACCCTGACGGCCGCTGTCCCGGGCTCCTGCCACCAGGCCAGATGAAGGTGGGCACGTACAAGCTGTCCTTTGACACCGAGGGCTACTGGAGGAAGCGGGGGCAGGAGAGCTTCTACCCATATGTGGAGGTGAGGACCGGGGGCAGGCTGGTCCCGCCCCTCAGTCTCTCCCATGGTGGTGGCAGGTGCTGAGGTCACCTGCTTTGAGTTCCCAGAGGAAGTGTCCAGGACTTCTCACGGCAGCCCATCCCTGCCCTGCCCCTCGGTCAGGCTGTTGGGGGCAGGGCCAAGGGTGACTCGGGCCCCATCCAGCTCACCGGGCCTGACCTCCCTGCCTCCCCCTTCACCTGACCCTGTTTTGGGAGGACCCCTTGGGAACCCGCAGGCCCAGGGGTCCCTCAAGCCGAGCACTTTCTCCAGGGAGGATTCAGGTCCCTCCACAGCCCTCACCACGTTGGGGCTCCTGTCCCCTGGACTTTAACTCCCAGGGCACAGCCTGGGCTGCTGTGTCCTCCCCGGGAGCACTGGGGTTAGGCTGCTCGTGTGCTGCATGCAGGCCCCTCGCTTCTTCTGGTGCCTTCTCTGCTTCTCTCAGGTCGTTTTCACCATCACAAACGAGACCCACAAGTTCCACGTACCGCTGCTGCTGAGCCCGTGGTCCTACACCACGTACCGAGGGAGCTAGTGGCTGAGCCACCGTCACTCTGGCTGAATGCCAGCTGGCCTGTGAGCACCAATTCTGTTACCACAGCCGCCGAGCCACCCGTGCCCTCAACAGACTGGCCTCTGTGTTCCTCCTGGGTCATCTGGCCCCCAATTTCCCAGTGGCGGCTGTGACTTGGGCATCAATAAAGTCAGTGCTGGCATCTGCAAGGCTGTGGCGGTCACTAGGCGGAGCTCAGCTGGTGCCACCCACCCCAAGGCGGGAGGGGTAGGGTGGGTGGGTGGGCGTGCGCACCAGCTGGGCTGCAGGGAAAGCTGCAGCTGGCCGTGGGCCCTGGAGCGCCTCTCCACACACCACGCAACAGGACACACAGCCAACGTGAAGCGCCTTCATTTGCTGGCAACACAAATGTAAAAACAAACGCCTGCCGTCCTCAGGGTTGAAAGGGGGTGTCCTCCAGCCCGGGCAGGGGCTACGTTGGGGTGCCCACGAGTCCCGCGGGGCCCTGACCCAGCGTCTGCCCGACCACAGCTGTCTCCAGGGGCTTGAAGCCCACGTTGTCCAGGGGGATCCCAAAGGCCAGGAGCTTTGCCTCATAGGTGCGAAGCAGGTCGTTGTGGGCCTGTGGGAACAGAGCGGCATCAGGGGCGGGTGCAGCGCACGGCACCAAGGCTGACCCCACTCAGGCCCACCCAGCTCCGTGGAGGGGCAGGAGGGTGCTGGTGGAAAACCACAAAGCTAACCTTTACCAGGGAGCTGGGCCTGACTCAGCAAAACTGTCATCAAGAAAAGGGCCCCAGGGCTCGGAGCTGAGCGTTAAGGGCCGGGCTCCAGAGAGAACTTGGGGCCAGGCCTGGCTCACCCTTCGCTGGGTGTGGACCAGTTGCCCTAGGAGCTACACACACCAGTAGATGGCCCTACTTCTGCTCATCTAAGTGTCAGGAGATGCCGAGCATCTGAGGGAAGGGCCCAGATGGGCAGAGGAGGCTGGGAGGGCCGAGGGCAGGCCCAGCCTTCATTGTGGGGTTCCAGAGACCTTGTGTACAATGTCCCCCCGCAGAATTAAAGGCATTTTTGAGTCACATTCGTGGGGTGGCTCTTGGTAAATGCACTGTATCTGCGTCCCCCATGGGCAAAGCCCAGACAGAGCTGTAGGCTCAACTATGGAGCTGGGGGCACTGGGGCCCAGGCCTGTCCAGTGTGGGACAGACAACAGTGGGAGGGGGGCACTGCCCTCCCCACCTGCAGGAGACCTCCATGCCCATGTGGTTCTTGGCACGGAGAGAGAGTGCGGCTCCCATCACTTAACAAAGGGTCAGAAAAGGTTAGACCCATAACTGTCCCCTGCTTGAAGGACACGGGCATCAACCTGGGGGCCCCTCCAGTCACCTCAGAGGCCAGGTCTGCGCCATGGTGCAAGGGTGAGGGCCAGGTGGGGAGACGGACAGAGCCTGCCGGATGAACAAACTGCCCTCATTTACTGGACGTGCACCAGGCAGGCCCTGTAAGGGACACCAGGACAGCAGCCGGAGCTATGGGGACGTGCCCCAGGCCACAGCAGGCCAGTGAGACTGGGCAGGCCAGACAGCCTCAAGCTGTGTCCACCCCCACCTCCTGGGCAGAGGTATAAATGGGGAGGGGTCCTGGGGGAGGGACGGGCCCTGTGGGAGGGCCGGGGGCTCCCCGTACCTTGCAGACTCGGGCCAGCTCATACTGCAAGTCCTTGATGGCGCTGTTCTTTGATTCCAGAACATCCTGAGGAGAGAAGGACGGACGTTAGTTTGAGACTCTTTGAGGCCGAGGCAGACGGGTGGGCGGGAGGCTGGGGGCTCCAGCAAGGAGACCGCAGCCATCCAGGGAGTAGCGGCCTGGCTCCATCACGTGTCCATGCACGGGGAGCAGCCAGCGTGGACAGGCCTCCCAGGGAAAGAGACCTGCCTCTCCAAGGAGACTGCCTAGATGGGAGAAGTGAGGACCGGAAGTCTGAGGGGCAGCTGGCCTGGTTCTGGAGCTCCCCCTCCTCCAGCCACGGCCCAGGGAAGCCCCCTGCACCTACACCTGCCATCTGGGAGTCATCCTCCGCAGGGTTCCTGGCCACCAGAAAGGTGAGCGCTGAGCCACACGGCGCCCTGGCCTGCGGGCACAGTGCCGTGACCGCTGCAGGCGGGATGTGTCCCTCCCCTCGTCAGCTGCTGCAGCCCAGGGCCTCCCCAGCTCTAAGACCGGCCGCCTTCCCAAGAGGGGCGCAGGAAAGCTGACCTCCCCCGCCGGCCAGCACTCTGGGTGACTCACATACAAATAGGGACAAGGACAGAGAGGAGCCCTAGACAGAGGACCGTGGTGCTGCCGGCCCAGATGAGGCCCCTCCTGTGTGGCCGCCCTGCCCCAGGCCCCGAGCACCTATCCCAATGACTCGGGTCCCGCAGGCACTGCTCCCCCATCAGCCAACACCCAGTCTCAGCCAGACGTGTGGGCACGACGTCCCCTGGGACTCCCAGCCCCTCCTGAGTGGGTGAAGTCGCTCTTCCTGCACTGGCGCCAGTGTGCTCCCCTCCTGCCCTCAGTGTCCGTCTGTGGCACAGTGGGCTCACTCTTATCCACTGCCCTCTGCCCACAGCTTGCCATGGTTCCCATCGGCCCCTAACTTGGGGGCACAGCTGACAGGCTTCAGAATCACGCCCACCCAGCTGGCTGTGCTCCCTCATCTCAGCCTTGTGTCCCCCTAAGGCCTGGGCAGCAACGAGGGGCTCAGGAGTGTACACAGAGCTAAGTGCGAGCTTCGGCCTCAGGTCAAGGCCGGGCGGGAGCGAGCCGGCTGGGATCACACAAAGATCAGGTGACCAGACGGACACAAGCTAATCCTCGGGCCCAGAGGCCGTGTGAGTGGACTGCGTTCAGCTGAGCTGTGCGTTGGTGAATCACCTTGAAAATGCCACCTGTGCTGCTTCTCAGGATCGCACACCTACACAGCAGCAAGGGGGCCTCACGGGACCCAGATCTGCTTCTCCGTGAAGGAAGAGCAGGGACAGACAGGTGCCCTTCACCCTGGAAGCATCTATGTCTGGGACAAGCCAGCCCTGTCACTGGGCCTCTCGATAGAGGCCAGCTGCATTCCAGGGGCCCAAGCACACCTGTGTCTGTCACCCAGGCCCCCAAGGGAGCCACCCCAGGGGCCACCTCAGGCCTGTTAGCTACAAGCCACCTGGCCGGCCAGGATCCCAAGGTCAGCCACGCTTCCCTGGCTGCCAGAGACCCCTGGTCCGCATCACTGGCCTTTCCTGTGATACCCCCAACCTGTGATACCCCCAACCAGGTCCAGGGAGCAGAGGGACACGGCCCCGCTCCAACTAAGAGATGACCTGCCAGGTGCTGTTGGGGCCTCTGCTGCTGGTCAAAGGTGGCAGCAATTCCTCAGTTGACCCAGCTGGCCCGTGGGCATGGAGGTCTTCTCTGTCTTGGTTACTGCTGTCCCCCCTGCCCAGGATGGTCCTAGCACAGAGGAGCGCCATAAATAACGTGGACTCATGAGCAAACAGCTCCAGCCTCTGCTCAGATGTCACTCCCTCTGGGAAGCCTTCCCTGGCACCCCCACCCACAGCTTCCATGTCCCCGTCCTCACTGTCCACAGCCTAAACCAGCACATCTGAGTGTCCCCGGCAGCAGTGGCCTCAGCTGACAGCTCAGAGGAATGCATCGTCCCGCAGGCCTGTGTCTGGGCCTGTCACCAGATGACCAAGGAGCTCAGGCTCAGAAGTTCAAGAGTGACCCCAGGCCTGACGGCTGAACCCATCTTGAGAACCGGAACAGGGAGTGGGCTCAGGGACTGGAAGGTGCCAAGAAGACAAGGAGGGGATCAGGAAGACCTGAGAGACGCGAGCAAACTGAGGAGAGTGAGGGAGGGACTGCGCATCTGGAGCCGGGGGCTTGACCATGAGAAATCCACCACAGCCCCTGCCCGAGGTCAACTGAGGGCAGCCTCCACTGGAATGGAGGCTGAACATGCCCGGGTCCCGCCTCGAGACAAGTGACCCCCGACCAGAGCCCAGGCTGCCTGCTGGGCGCAGGAGCATGGGGCACCAGCGCGGCCCCTGCCCAGGAACCAATCGGACCTACCTCCAGCTTGCGGGACACGAGACTCAGGGCTGCCGGGTCCAGGTTGGAGGACGCCAGCACCTCGTTGAACTGCACCTCTTTCTTCTCCACGGCGGCGTTCAGCGCCTGCAGTTTGCGCTCCAGGAGCAGGTTCTTGAAGCCCACCTTCTGCTGCACCTCCAGGATGGCCGCAGTGAACTTCCGGTAGAGCTCATCCCGTTCCTGCTGCACCTGTGGGACGGGCTGCGGGGTGAGGCGAGCAGCCCCCTCCCGCCTCCACCTCTGGGCCAGAACACACCGCTTCCACAGAGGGACCACCTTTCTCCAGTGCCCACCCGCAGGCGGGCGGGTCTGTGTCATCCACACTGCCTGCACCCCGACTCTCTGTGACACAATTAAAAGCGGGCAGCTGTCCACACCGTGGAGGGTAGGAGGAAACAGCAGCCGGGCCCTCCTCTAGGAAGGTGTCCCAGGAAGCAATGGGCGCCCTGGTAGGAGCTGAAGAGGGCCCACAGGAGAGTGGGGCCGGCCTTGCCCCGGGTTTGGGCAGTGGGCTCAGGACAAACATGTCCTTGATCGCCCCACGTGACATCCAGGGCATCAGAATCCGGAAAGCACTGTTTGTGGGTGGGGGGCCTCTTGGGGATCCACTTCCTCTGCCAGCCCCAGATCCTAGAACCCCACGTGCTGTCCACGTGCCCCACAAATGGCAGATCTAGAGCACAGCCCCGGAGCAGCTGCCTGTCACTCAGTGAGTGCTCTTTTCCATCTCTTGACTCTTACTTTTAACCATGCGTTGTAAAACATCAAGACTTTGTAGAAGTGTAACAAGTCAACCCACTTCCCAGAGGCCACCACGTGAATATTTGGGGGGACTTCTTCCAGAATGTTCTCTAGATATGTAAAAACACGCAATCGTGCCAGGAGGAGAAGAGAACTATGCTAAACCCTACAGCACCTCAGCCTTCTAACTACTGCGTAGTATTCCTTAGGTTTGCTTCAGCGCAGTCCCTGTCCCTTTGGTCTTTAAAATCTGCTGACAAATCTGTGCTCTTGGTTTTCTAAGGAGACACTGACGTGGCCACGTCCCAGTAACCACATTCAAATGGAAGAGGAGGTGGCAGGGAGCAAGGGCTCCAGCACAGGCCTCGGCTCGGCTCTGCTCTCTCCTCCCCCACTGCGCCCGCCTTAACCAGCAGCGAGGGACATCTCTCCAGCTACGCCCAGGCCCCTGCTCCTGGGCTGTCCATCAGCCTGCGGGACCCGCTGAGGCTTCTTTGAAGAAGGCGAATCTAGATCTGACTTGCTTACGGGATGTTCCTGAGGAACTTGGCCCATTCCGTTATCAGAGTCTGAGACTGTGATTTTTCAATTAGGTGGGAAAAGAAAAATACTGCGCACTAGCGAACACTCACAAAGATGGCCGGCTCCGCCCAGACCCGGGCGGCCTCTAGAGGCAGGGAGGGCCATCTTGGCCACTCACTGGGGATCTCAGAAAAGCACATCCAATGCCGACACTTTCCACCCACTCACGACGGCAAAGGTTTGAACTGGTGAGATCTGCTGCAGGCGGGAAGTGGCCCCTCGGGCACGCTGGGCCAGAGCCTAACTGAGAACCGCCCTCTGCACAGACTGTCCAAACTCTGAACACAAACCTTCTGGCCCAGCGATTCCACTGCCAGGAACTGACTTTCCTGAGAGAGATTCACAGAATTGCACAAAGATGAAAGGAGAATTGTGGCAGCGATGCTGTGATAGCAAAGGACTGGAAGGGATGTTCCTCAAGGGGAACTAGCTAAATAAATGCCGGAGCCTGCAGGCAGAGGCACGCCGTGGCAGCTAAAAAGAGCAAGGCCACTCTACACTGTGATTTGGAGACGGCACAACACACCGTGAGAATAAAGGTGTGTCACGAGCGAGCGTGACCCCATATCATCCACGTAATGCAGGCTCCTGAGAGATGACAAGGCCAGACTTCATGTCTGCAAGGTAGGAGTCATTCCTGCGCTGGACACACAGGAAGAGGTCTGGAAGGACACTCGGGAAGCTGTGACCACTGTGAGGACCAGCACTGCTCAGCGGGACCCTCTCATTGTCACTTACAGACTTCAGCTTCCATGCCTGCCTTCCAACGCATCTGTAACCGTTTAGTACCTAAATACGTGTCTGTGCACGAACACGATGCTTGCTGCGAGGGGCCGGGCGGCCTGCGTGTGTTCCACAGGTGACACCAGGGGCCAGAGCGGGCGCAAGCTGCTCCCCACAGGCACCTGGTCTTTGAGACCCTGGGCCTCCTACAGAATGTGCCACAGGTTTTTGCCTCTGAACTGCGTAGAATAGGGAGCGGGCAATAGGACCTCCAGCTTCCAACCCCAGAAACCCAGCCACAGCATCAGGACCGCTTCAAGAGGTCTCGTCAGGAGAGCTCTTCAAGAGCCAATTGCAGGAGACGGCGGCAGGAAGCGCTCCTCGCCGGCTGGGGGTCCCGGCCTGCGGGCTGCAGGCCCACCCAGGGTCTGCTCACCTTCATGAACCGCTGCTCCAGCACCTCATGCTCCCACTGCAGCCCCTTCAGCTCTTTCTCAGTGACCTTCAAACGCGCTTTTGTGCACTGGAGAGAAAACAGGGGGTGGGGGACACAAGGCATTCTGGCATCCATGTAATGCAGGCTCCTGAGAAATGACAAGGCCAGAAATAATCCTCAGCAAGAACTGACTCAAGGACAAGCGCTCAGCACCCTGACGGCGGGCTAGGGGGACACCTATCTCCCAGAGGATGCACCAACTTTACTTCCCCCCCTGCCCCCCGCCAGAGGACACCTGTCAAAGAAAGGAGGGCCGCAGCTCCCCGCTTCCTGCCTTCACTGGCCTTCCTCCTCTCCTGGGCCCAGGAGAAGGTGCTGAGGCGGGAGATGAATTCAGGTGGAGACTCACGACCAGGATCTGCTTGTCCCTCTCGTAGTTCCCGAGCTTCTTCTGCATCTCATTCATCTCGTCCCGAGCCTTCTGGAGGGGGTCTGCCAGGCGCTTGTTCTGCACGGACACCTCCGCCATCTCCTTCTCGAGGTGCTCCTCTTTCTTCCGCATGTCCTCCATCTGCTCCTGTTGGCACAGCACGGGGTCAGGAGGCGCCTGGCAGACAGACCTGAGGGGCTGCGGCCTTCGGGTGAGGGCCACGAGCCCTCCTGCCCACAGAGAGTGGTCCCGCCAGCCGCTCGCACACTGTGGACCTAGACTGTTTCACATATAAACACAGAGGATTTGGGCACAGTTTTAATCTGTTCTGATTTTTCTAGGAATGCAGCTTCCATGAGAAATGAGAGACTACCCTCTGTTCGGAACCTCCGCAGGGGCACCCTCCATTATGGAACCCTGTCCCTGCCAGCACTCGGGCGACGATGACACCGCCTGCACCAGCCGTGCTATGGCTCCCACTGCGGTTCAGCCTGAGCTTTCCCATCTCAGAAAGCGCACCGTCTCCTCACTTCCCTGCACGCTGACTGCTCCCAGCTACAAGGCAGTCCCTCGGCTGTGAATCCAGTCAAGGGCAGCAGGGGGCACTGTCCAGTCCCATGGACAGGTGTGGGAGCCCATCCCCTGGCCAGGCGGCACCTTGAGGGAGTTGATGAGGGCCAGGTTGTTGAGGGTGATGTCATTGTAGTAGTTCTTGATGTCCGTGAAGGCCTCCTCGTGCCGCTGCATCAGCATGTTGATCTGGCCGTTCTTCCTTTCCTCCACCTCGTGGATCTCGGTCTTTCTCCGCAGGTCGAGCTCATCCCTAAGCATCTTCATCTTCTTATCATACTTGGCCTCAATTTCTGAAAGGCAGCAGCACACAGAGCAGCTTAGCAGAGGAAGAACAGGTGCCCTGTGGCTACAAGAATAGATGAATCTTCAGCACACCCACCAGGACGAAGGCTGCACAGACAAGTTCTGCCAAAGAACAGGGTGGGTTTAGGTGGAGTTCTTTCTGCTGATGCTCAGATGACACATTCAGCACACACACCACTGTCTGCCTTCTTTGCCTGTGGCAGGCATTGCTAATCAATCCCTGCATTAGGGCTCCCAACAGCTGAGTGTCAGCTGATCCCAGTGGACACTGACCATGGCTGTGTGGCCATCGAGCAGACATGGGGCTTTATTAGTAAACCAGACAGAGGTGTGAAATGGGAGCCTCCTCAGGTCAGAATACATGGGAAGACTATTCTAAGAATGCTGCCCACGAGACTGAATAATACCACCTGCTTCTAACTGCCGACTGTGCCAGGAGGGGGGAAGTGGGTGGTAACTGCAGCCTCCCCAGCTCACATGGAAATAAGTTGTTCTGGAATTCTGAGCGGTCCGTCAGCCTTGGCAACTGCCACGTTCTCTCTCTTTGCGTGTCTGGGCTGTTTTAACCTGGTTTATGTGGCCTGGGTTAAAAACCCGGAGGTAAATTACTTTCTGATGGGAGGGGCTCTGGCACCATCCTAGACAGTGTGCATGTGAGGCACTGACCTCGCACTTGCCTCTCGAAGTCGCTCCGCATCTTGGTGATCTCCTCGGTGTGTCTCTGCAAAGGCAGAGCAGGCCATTTTAGACGGGCACAGGGAGGAGCCCCGCCCTTGGGCTGGCCCAGCTCCTCACAGTACGGAAAGTCCAACGGGAAACCCTCTGCTGTTCCAGTGGGTGCATGTCCTCCTCTCCGAGCTCAGGGACCATGCCCAGAGTAACACAGCTTGGGTATCAGCCACGTGTCACACCTCACTTCCCTTGGCTAAAGTGACCCAGAGCCTGAGAGGACATGAACAGACATTCTGGGCATTATCCGTGCTCGGCCTCTCGCCCACTCTGCCCGCAGGCTGGAGAGCAGTGGAGATGATACACAGAGTGCAGGCTCCCTCCAGTGCCTGCTAGCCTGCTTCAGCTGCAGCTCGAGCAGCAGTAAAAATTACTTCAATAGTTATCATATATACAAATTTTGAATAAAAAATTTATTTTTAGGGGCCAGCCCGGTGGTGCAGTGGTTAAGTTCACAGGTTCCGCTTCTCGGCAGCCCGGGGTTCGCCGGATCGGATCCCGGTGCGGACATGGCACCGCTTGGCACGCCATGCTGTGGTAGGCGTCCCACATATAAAATAGAGGAAGATGGGCACGGATGTTAGCTCAGGGCCAGGCTTCCTCAGCAAAAAGAAGAGGACTGGCAGCAGTTAGCTCAGGGCTAGTCTTCCTCAAAAAAAAAAATTGATTTTTAGAGCATTTTTTTTTATGCAAAGGGAAGCCAACCACATAACTATTCTATATCTAGGCCTCCAGAAAGCAGACAGCCTCACATCAAATTCACTGGAAACCAGCCCATTCTGTGCTTCTCTCAGGAAAGACCAGACATTCTTGAGGTCCAAGACTTCAGCACCCGCAGCCTCGCTGCAAAGTCTGCAACAATACTGAGTTTTTTCCAGATTCAGCTGAGGCGGGGCTGCCTCCAGGCATGAGGCACGTGGGTTGACAAAGTCTTCTCAACCCGCAGCAGGAAGTGCCTTTGAAAACCAAATGTGGACACATCTTCCCTCTGCCCAGATCCTCCGCAGGTGCCCTGACTCAGCAGGGTCGAAGCCCTGGTCCTCACGGTGGTTTTGGGGGCGGACAAGGTCTGAGCTCACTTCCCAGCTTCCTTGCTCCTGCCTCCCCTGGGCCTTCAGGCTGGCCCGTCCCCTGTCCCTTCTCCAGGCCTGGTCTCCCCCAGCCTGGGCCAGCCTCTACCTCCTTCCAGCCTCTGCCCAATGCCACCTTCTCAAGGAGGCGTTCCCAGAACTCCTTGTAGAAAATGCAGCGCCCCTCATCCCCAGCACCCTCCCCATGCGGCTCGCCCTGCAGCACTCACACCCACGGCGCGCTGTATGTGTTGGACACGTTTTGTCTTCCATCCTACATGTACTCGTTCCTCTCCAGACCAGCAGCCACACATGGGCAGGCAGGCGTTTCCTCAGTCCTGTTCCCTCTACGTCCCCAGAGATCAGAACAGAGCCTGGCATCTTATGGTGCTCAGGAAACGGATTTCAACCTGCACCTGGAACTCCCAGCCTCCCTTAGAAAGGCCAAAAAGTCTCAAAACTCAGCCAGGTGCTCACGAGCCCAGCTTCGTGACAAACTGCCGTGGCCGCCCAGGGGCCAGCGCAGCGGACACCTGACTGGTGGTGTGTATCTCTAGATGCACCTGACATACTCCCTGGGAAAGGAGCCAGGTCAGGGGCCAGCAGCACGTGGAGAGGGACCCTGAGTGGAGTTCCTCGTGGAAAGTCAATTTGTTGCTCAAATCTGAGACAGAATTCTGTACTTGGCCCCCAAACGGGGTTTGTTTGGCTGCATGCTTTTTGTGTGTGTGTGTGGTATTTCAATTAATTGCCAAAATGCAGGAGGTTTACACAAAAATATGAATTCCTAGTACTGTTGAGTCATCAAGAGTTTGCTGTCCCCAGCAGCCAGGGGACAGGCCCAGGGACCCCACACCTACCAGCCGCAGGTTCTTCACCACCACCTCGTTGGCCAGCTCCTGCTCCTTGAGCTCCACCTTCAGTGCCCGCATGTCCTTGCGCAGCATGTCCTCCTGCGCGCAGTGCTCCTTCTGGGCCAGCTTCATGACCACCGTGCCCTCGGCCTTCATCTCCGTCAGGTTGTTCTGATGCTCGTACAGCAGGTGCTTCACCTTCTGCTTGTAGACCTGTGTGCACGGAGAGCACCACCTGCTCACCCGCACACGCACACACACTCTGGCACACGCATGCTCACCTGTCCACACATGTTCACTGCACAAGCACACTCCTGCACACACATGCTCCTTTCTAAGAAAATACCCCTAGGGTCCCATTGTAAAGGACATACACAGGACTGTGACCTCCCCAAAACAAAAAGAGAAAATGCCCCCATCCAGCTCCTGTGCTTCTGTGTGGTGACTCCAGCGGGGCAGAGGCCGGCCCACTCACCTTGATCTCCACCTGGTGCCTCTCCTCAGCCTCCTCCATCTCCCGGTCTTTGTTCCGCAGCTCGGCCTTCTTCTCCTCCAGCTGCCTCCGTGTGATCTCCCAGAAGGTGTGGATCTTGTCCCGCTCCAGCTGGAAGTAGTTGCGCTCCTCTCGCTCGCGGTCCAGCTCCTCCCGGATGCGGCAGACGTGCTCCTCCACCTGGCCGGGCAGAGCAGGGCGACTGAGGCGCCCAGCAGGAGCCCCGCCACTGCGAGGGGCGTGTGGACTGAGAAAGGTGAGGAAGAAAGAGGGAGGGGCTGGTCTCACCTGACAATAAAGATGAGCTAAAAGTAAGAAGTTAAAGCACAATGCTAGGAAGGCTCCAGGAATAGGATACGCCCAGTAAATAGCAGAAATCTCCAGAATTTGGCAAATAATCGTAAAAAGACTGTATCTTTTCATCCATTCCTGGGAATATATATTAAAGAAATTTCTCAAAAGAACTCAACAGCTTTCTGCTCAGATAGTAGCCCCAGTTATTGCAACAGCAAAAAAATAAAAAGGAAATTATCTAAAATGGTTTTGAATAGGGAAATGGTTGGGAAATTACAGTACATCAAGTAGAAGATTATCTGGCCCAAAGATACAGAGATATGAAAATGATGTAGCAACATGTAAAGACGTCCACAAAATAATGCTAAATGAAAAAAACAGTCACCTTTAAAGATACACGTTAAGCAAAAAATACACAAAACCAGTGGAAGGGTCTAACAGTCAAGAGAGTTTGGTTCACAGCCAATTGCAAATCTACAAATAGGTTAAGAAAAAAAAGTAGGACAGGCTCCCGGCTTTCTTGGGAATCTCATTTCCCTTAAGAACTGGTTATCTTCTGAGCATAACTCAGGCCACTCACTGTAAAGTTCTTCTCTCCTGATAACCCTGTTCCCCACAGAGAAACCACATTTCTCACTTCAAGAAAGGGCCACGAGGGGCAGCCAGGGGGCCTCTGAGCTGAGGACCCAGGGTGGAGCTTGGCTCCCTACGAGGGAGGAATGGCACCCCAGGATCTGACTAGGGCCTCAGCAGATGACAGTGTCTTCATGTCATGGACCTTCAGTGTCACTCAAACAGTGTAAACCAGGCTCCTTCCTACTCTGGCTCCCGGTGTTAGATTGTGCCATGAGTCAACATCTAGATGTCTAGTTTCTCCTAAAAATCTGAAAACAGCACTGGAGCCCAATGTCCACAGAGTAACCATCCAGTGAACTGACCACAACTGTCCCCAATCCCTCACTCCTGCCTGGACCCTGGTCACTTGCAAGGTGTCCATGCCTCAAATGTGCGCCGTGCCAGGGCAAGGCTGTGCTCCACAGACCACTGCCTCATCCCAGTTGTGCCCACAGGGGCAGGAAGTAAGCAGGGAGACAGGAAACAGCTCACCCGCTGGGGCAACGCTGTGCGATCCATTCTCCACGCAGCCCAGTGATCTCCCAAACACAGACCTGGCCTGCCACCCTCGGCTACACTGCAATGGCTTCCCTGCACGCAGAGTGAAGCCAGTCCACTACTGCTCAAGGGCCTCTGCCTGGCCTCCCAACTTAGCTCACGTGACTCTGTCAGTCTCCTTTGTATTTGTTCTTTATCTTAAAACTAGCAAAAGAAAGTACAGGTTGTTAACACCAACACTCGGTTGACAGGGAGCCCTCAGGTCCCTGCGACATGCTCACGTGGCAGCTGTCAATGGCACAGAGGCTGCAGGAGGTGCCACACTCACTCCCATGTTTGCTGTGTTAGTTTTCAGGAGCCTTTTAATTGAAATCATAATCATATAATTATGTCCACTAGCCCTTAACTTCATCAAAATGGACAAGTAGGGGCCAGCCCCATGCCTAGTGGTTCAGTTTGGCGTGCTCTGCTTCAGAATCCTGGGTTCGGTTCCTGGGCACCTACCTACACCACTCATGGGCAGCCATGCTGCGGCAGCGTCCCACATACAAAATAGAGGAAGAGTGGCACAGATGTTAGCTCCATGACAATCTTCCTCACAAAAAAAAAAAAGGACAAGTGTCTTAAGATGATTCCTAATGTCCTAATGTTTAATGGTAAATAAAATAAAGGTGAATGCTATCGATCCATGTGCTGATAACAGATCTGTAAATATCAGGTGCATAAAAGAATAAAATTGAAATGAAATACAGAAAATTAAAAAAAGTTTTTGGGGGGGACCAGCCTGGTGGCGCAGCTGGTAAGTGTGCATGTTCTGCTTCGGTGGCCCAGGGTTCACTGGTTCAGATCCCAGGTGCGGACATGGCACCACTTGTCAAGCCATGCTGTGGCAGGCATCCCACATATAAAGTAGAGGAAGATGGGCACAGATGTTAGCTCAGGGATGATCTTCCTCAAAAAAAAAATAGCTTTTATATCAGAAAAATATTTCCTCCCAAATTGCTACTATCCTATAAAACAGTTGTTCACTGTGGCCGTGTTGCATTTTTTTCTTAAGACGTACTGTGCTTGAGCGTTCTGGAGCTGACGAGAACTATGGAAATGGGGAGGGCATATCCTGGTTTGGACAGAACTGCAGGAGCCAGACTGAGGGCAGACACACAAGGCAGAAGGCTGTGATGCGTGGTCCCAAAGAGGCTCATGAACACAAACGTCCAGAGAGACAACTTGGAAGAGCACCCACCCACCCACCTACCCAGGACTGGGTCACGGCACAGGGCTGCTCCACTCACCTGCTCCTTGCTCATGTCCTCTGGAGCGAGCCCATCAACAACCGGGGTGCCTTTGCCTTTCCCTTTCTTCCCTTTCCTTTTGGGTGCCTTTGGTTAAAGAAGAGACAAGTGGGTAAAGAAGGGGGCTCTGACTAATGGCTTCACCTTCTGCCTGGCTCTGAGGCCCTCCTGGGGTCTTGTGGGAGAGGGGTACCTGTCTGGAGCCTCTCTCCCACTGCTCATGCCCCCCACCTGGAGCACATCACTCTGCACTAAGGTCCCCACCCTTAACCACACACACGGTCTCTGCTGACACCATTGGAGAAACAAGGAGAAAGCTTCCTTTTCAGAAGAGAAGTTTCTCCCTCAGAAAGGAACAGAGGGGATCTCATTCCAAATCCACTCCTTGGTATATGGCAGAGACCTCCTTGGTGTGGATGCAAAGTTTACTTGGCCTCAAAAAGGAAGAACCCCGGGGCTAGCCCCGTGGCTGAGTGGTTAAGTTCACGCACTCTGCTGCAGGCAGCCCAGTGTTTCATTGGTTCAAATCCTGGGCGCGGACATGGCACTGCTCATCAAACCACGCTGAGGCGGCGTCCCACATGCCACAACTAGAAGGACCCACAACGAAAAAATATACAACTATGTACTGGGGGGCTTTGGGGAGAAAAAGGAAAAAAATAAAATCTTTAAAATTATTAAAAAAAAAAAAAAAAGGAAGAACCCCAATACCACCTGCCAGATGTTGCCATGTTGGCTGTAATGCTTGGTAACCACCATAGAGAAACCTGCAAAACACTGTTCAATACGTGTACAGAGAAATGCCTGCATAGCAGTGACCACAGGCAACAATATGAGGCTTCCTTTCTTCTAGATATAAAGCTCCTGCAGAGAACCCTGGTCCAGACAGCTGGAGCAGACAGCACTTGCCCTGGATGCTCTGAAAATGCTCCGCCACATGGAACCGCTTGGGGTGTCCTGCTTCATTTAACACCAGGGACAAGGTGAGAGAGAGGACCTTGCGCCCACTCGCTTCCTGAGGGCCCCTCAGCAGATACCGAACTTGCAAATCCTCATCCCTCTGCCTGCCCCGCTCCCACCCCTCCGTGGCCCGTGCTTTTGGGTGCATGTGCGTCTGCACGGGTCTGCAATGTTTTCATGTGCGTGTGTTTACATGTGCCTGTAACATTTTCACGATTACAAAAAAACCTTATGTGGAAATCTTAGAAAACATAAAGAACAAAAAGAAAACCACCCATATTCCCACAAGCTAGTGATTAGATGTATTTGGGTGGTCTATTTCCAGTTAATTTTCCAAAGACCCATCCGCTGAAATCTTCACTCCTAATGTTCTGCCTTTTTTCTAATCCTTCTACTCCAAGAAGTCCACCCCATCAGAGGACCGCAAAGGTTTGTCACCACTTTGTATCTGGGACATTTACAGCCAACTTCAGGAGCCTGGAAGAGCTCCTGTGGATCCCCCACATAAGGTATCCCCGGCAACACCCAGCCTGCCACACCTGCCTCCAAACTAAGTCACTGACAACTCCTATGGGGGGGAGGGGGCAGAGGGACCTATCACATGACAGAGACAGGGATGCAGAACTGGGGAGGTGACAGCTCCCACCATGCTCTTCTCAATACAGACCTTGCTCCTCTGAGGCTCTCCAAGGAAAGAGCAGTTCCTGTACCCCAAGGCTCTGCCCTGGGCACCCCATGGGCACGGGACCCTCTGTCCAAGACTCCTTGGTGTTGAGGGACCTCTAGCCACGTGGTATGCCCCAGGCTCTCCAACTCAGAGACTGGAGGTCCTGGGGTATCCCTTGCACCCAACTCTCCTCCGTGAGGACCCTGTGTGCCTCAGACCCCTGCGAGGTGAGATCCTGGGTCCCAAAGATCTGACCAACCAAGCTTTCCATTCCACGTGGGAAATCTCCTTTAGCCAGGTTCTCTCTTCTGGACGCCTTGAACACTGGCCCTGGTCTTGCCGGGCGGGTTCTATGACCACCCCTGTACAGGATCCTGGAGAGCACAGATCTCTCAGCTCCAAGTGCATGCGGAATGCGGGATGCACGATGCATGATACAGCCCTGGGCTCTACCCATGGGGACTCCAGGAGACCACCAAATTCTCAATTCCAGGAACCCAGAGCTCTAGGCCTCCCCATCACAGAGTCTCAGTGTGCACAGGTCCCGGGGACCCAGGCTTCCCCATCCAGGGGTCTCTCTGCACACAAGAACCCGGAGCTCAGGCCTCCCCGTCCAGGGGTCTCTCTGCGCACGAGACCCCGGAGCCCAGGCCTTCCCGTCCCAGGGTCTCCGTGCGCGCATGGTCGGCTAACCGCGGCGCCGCAGGCCCCAGCGCAGACCCAGCGACCCACGCCCCTCCTCACCATGGCTGCGGCAGTCGGGAGCCGCCACCAGCGGACAAATGCGCCCGCCCAGCGGAGGCTGCGCCGTCTCCCGGCAACTGCTGGGCGGTCCCGCGCGAAGTCTCAAGGATCCTCGCGAGACTCCACCCGCCGAGGCAGGTCCTGGCAACGACGGGAGCGCGTCCCTAGTAACGCGCGCCGGGCGGAGCCAGGGGTTGCAGAGTTCAGGGACTTGCTCGCAGCAAGGCGTGGTCCACGCGCTTGGTCTCCTCGACACCCCTAAACGCGTTTCGGTGCGAGATGTATTTGTTTGTGGCCGGTCTCCCCCACTGGAACTTAACGTCCATTAAGGGGGAGGAAATGTTTCGTCCACTTCTGAACTACAGCGCCGAGAAGAGTGCACAGCGGTGCTCAGTAAGGTTGCCTTCAGTAAATGAGGAAGGGAGGGAGGGAGGACAGATCTGCCCCCAAGGCTCCGAGACATCCCAGTTAGGTACAAGCGTGGGCTGCGCCTGCCCTGGCCTCACCTCACCCTGCCCACCTTCAAAGATTCCTCCCGCCTCTGCCCTGCTGGCGATGGAAGACGGCTGCGTTTCCACAAACCCTCCGAAAAAAACAAAAATTGGAAAGAAAAATATGTTCCAGCTAAGTCCAACGTTTTGAAATTAGCAAGTGTCCCCTTCACAGAAATAAACAGCTCAGCCTGAAGAGGCCTCCTTGGTGGCAGCCCAGTCCTCGTGGTGAGGAAAAACCAGAAACAGCTGCGAGAGGTTTCCAAACAGCACTGCAGAAAAAAGAGAGTTACCAGCTTCCTCTCCTGACCTCTTGCTCTGAAAACGGCCAACCATTCTATGATTTCTAAAGTGAATTTCCATTCCCGGCCACCAACCTATTACTTACACACATCACTCTGTCACCCCAGAAGGCTGAGAGTTTGTCATAAGAGGTGGTCTTTCCACACCATTTGTTGTCTTTTTTTCCACACTCCTATGAAAGAGGACATGAGTGGAGCCATATTAAAATAGAGCCAGAGCTGCCGTTTCAGAGGAACTGCCCTGCACCTCTTGTTTTCTTTATCTTCCAAACTGGACCAAAGTCCCAGCATTCCAGGAAGCCAGGAAGGACAAGAATATCCTGTTTGTAAGGACTGATGAAACTGGACTTTGCTGAGGACCAAATCGCTAACCAATCCATGAACTTCAAGTCTAGCCTTTTGTCTGACAGCCGAATGAAGTACAGACCTGGCCTTCCCTCGTCCAGCACCAATGACCGCCCCTTTAATACAGCCTGCCTCACCGTCCTCCCTTTTTCCCATGAAAACTCTGAGCCCCTCTCCTGTAATGGGGACGCTATTTGGGTTATTCCCTGAATCTGTGCTCCCCGAATTGCAATTCTTTGATCCCAGATAAACACTTTGCTCTTAAACTAGTTCCTGTTTTTGTAGGTTGACACTCTCAGCTTCTTCCTAAATAGTGGTTTTGCATCAGGTCATGTTTTCCCATCTGTTTTGGGATGGAGAAGACTCCAGAATCTTCTCCCCCTGGAGAACTGTGTTGGGGACAGAGTGTAAGTAATGAAGAAAGGCTCCAGCAGGCGTGGATCTGCCTGTCCCGCCCGGGGAGGAAGATACCTCCCGAGATAGGCTTGCTCAGGCCTCAGGCCCCCACGCAGTGGCAGGGATCTGAGAGCCGAAGTGAGGAGCCCAACGGGCTTCCCGTTTGCCCACTCAAGCTCTGATTGTTCCTGGAGAGGAGCAGCTAGTTGGAAAGACTGCATTCCCTGGCCTGCACAGAGCCGTGACTTGTTTATAGCAGGCCCTGAGGCCTCTGTGAGGTCTCGTCGCATCACTGTGCCTGGTCAGCTGAGAGTCTGCATTTCTCTGCCAGACCCACTGGCCTGAGGGGCCTTCACCCACGGGGGTCTCCCAGCGGGAGTTCGGCAGGTGAGACGGTGCAGCAGGGCAGAGCGGCGGGGTAGTTACCATCAGTTAACACTTACAGACCCAATGTGCTGGGCACCTCATGCCAGTTGGCTTTTTGCTTTAGAAGTCTGGCTGGGAGTCCTGAGTTAAATAAACGTGTAACAATAATTCCTCTCGGCAAAAAGGGCAAGAATCAGAGGGTTAGCTCAGCACAAGGAGACACGGTATTCACCTGTCACAGACCTCCAGTGCCACTCGGTTCTCAGTGCGGATCGCCAGATGGATGGTTCAGGAGCCCTGGCTGCGGCTCTCTGTGCTCCCAACAAGGCCCACAGCAGCCTGTGCTTTTCCTACTGGATTTGAGTTCAGATTTTTAGAAAAGAGCCTTTTCTTCACATGTGTGGCTTAAGATACTTTTATTCAGCATCAAGCTGTGCAGGTCAGAAACCCAGATAAACGGCATCTGAGTTTCCTGCCGAGCAACACGCACGGGCCGTGTAGTCTCCTGTCTGCTTCCCAGCGCCCGCTTCCTTGGTGGGCCAGGCAGCCCACCTCAGGCCACGGCGGCAGCTCAACACAGGCCTGGATGTCAGGATCACAGAGTGCTTAAGACTGGACTCACTTTTAGAGATGAATAGTGAAGTATTTACAAATGAGATTATATAACGTGTAGGATTTGCTTCAAAACAATCCAGTAGAGTAGGGAGGCAGTTGAGAGTAGGGAAGAAACAAGATCAGCCATGTTGGTCATCCTTGAATCCAGGTGATGGATACATGCAGGTTAATTGTGCTATTCTCTCTACTTTTGTTTGAAAATGTTCTTAATGAAAAGTTAAGAATAAACTCTGGCCTCTGGAGTCAGACCGCCTGCAGCTTACCAGTGGGACACCTTTGACAAAACCCTCTCTGTATTCACTCATTCATCTCTCAAATGGGGATGCTTATTAAACAACAATTACGTGACAGTAACTATGATGTATAACAGGTCACCCCCAAAACATAGTGGCTTAATACAGTGACAACACGGGTTTTGCCCATGATTCTGCAACTTGGCCAGGACTTGCTGTGGACAGCTCACCTCTGCTCTACATGTCACCCTTGGGGGGTGGCTCAAAGATAGGGTCTCAGGTCTGGCCTATTGGCTATTGCCGGCTAGACACACACCATCGGCCTCTCGAGTGGCCAGGGCATCCTCACACAGGGTGGCCAGGTTCCAGGGGGCCCTGCTGAGAGAGCTGAGTCCTCCTTATGATCCTGCCTTGGAAGTCACACAGCATCACTTATGCCACATTCTGTCGGCCAGAGCAGTCACAAGCCTTGCCCAGATTCAAGCAGAAGGAGCATCGATGGGGACTGTCTTGATGGGAGTGGAAGGTTCTGGAAAACATGTGGAATCAGAAATACTGCTCTCACCATTCTGAGAAAACACAATCCGCCTCCCCAGCTGACTCTAAGCAGGCAGAGCCCACCCACCGTCCTGTCTGCTGAGGGGTCACTGGCTTGCTTATGTCCCTGCCACCCACCCTGAAGCCCAGCTTTATCTCCGAGAGGCCAATGGCTTGAAAACTCCAGGGGCTTGTCCTAGCAGGCCATGAAATCATTTTAGATGGTCACAAACAGCAGTTTTTGTTTTCGTTTGTTTCATAAACTACAGAAAAATGGGCTCTATTAGCCTGCCTCACGGACTCACCAAGTCTCAGAAGCCACGGGCTGGCACTGGGCTGGGCAGTGAGGGCCGGGCTAGGCTGAAGCCTGCGTACCACCTGCCTTTGAGAATGTGCCTTTCCTGCAAACACCAAGTTCACAGCCCACCTGTGAATAAACTCTTCTCCCTGATGCTTTTCTTTGGTTTGTTTTTGTAAAAACGCAGAGTGTGGACTTGGATCCGGACCTTCTGGCTTCCAATGCCTGGCTGTGCAACCTTGGTCAGGTTACCTACCCTCTCTGTGCTCAGCTTCTTTACCTTTAAAACCAGGATACCATCTTAGGATCACTGGGAGAATTAATGAGATATCGCACACAAAGGGCTTGGCACAGAGCCGCATTCCAGGAGCTTGTGTGCGGGCCCAGTGCAGCAGACCAGCGTTGGAGCGGGGATTTCACTCTCTCCTTGGGGTTCTCAGCACGTCCAGACCCCGCTCTCCCTCCCTGGGGCATCCTCCCTGCCTGCTCCCGTCTCCTTACCTCCCCCCCACCACGCCCCTCCAGCCTCGCGGTTACGCGCTCTCGCCCCCACCCAACCCCTACCCCAGAGTTTCTGCACAGCTTTTATCGTAACTGGCAGTTCTACGTTTATGGGCTGCCGGGTGTTGGCGCCGCCTTCGCCTCTCCAGCGCCCACCCCTCCACGCCCCGCGAAGCGCCGGCACGTAGTGGGCGCCCCATAAATATGTGGGGGTGAACAAATGGACGGAAGTCGGCGCGGCTGCAGGATGAGTGCGCGCGGGGGCCGCAGCCACCGGGCCGGGGACGGGAGGCCGCGGCCCGCGCCGGGTGGGTCCGCAGCGGGGGCGAAGTCCGCGGGAGAGGCGGTCCGCAGGGCCCGGGGCCGACAGGGGGCGCGCGCGGGGCGGGGCGGGGCCGCACCTGTGCTGCGGGGCTCGGGGGGAGGATGGCGGGGGGGCCCGGGGCCCCGGAGCAGCTGCGCGCCCCGCCCCGCGGGCTCCTCCCCGCCGCCGCGGCCCCCCGGCTGCTGCCCCGATGCGCTGCGCCGGGAGCCTGGGCCGAGTCGCCGCCGCAGCTGCAGGGGCGCCCGGGCCGGGTGACGCCGCCGCCGCCCGCGCCCCTCCCAGCCCCCGCCGGCCGCATGGAGCCCCCGGAGGGCGCCAGCCCGGGAGGTGAGTGCGGCCCCAGCCCCCGGGAGCCCCCGAGCCCGCCTTCCACGCAGCGAGCCGCAGCCCCCTCCTTCCGGGCCCACTCATCGGCCGCGCCCAGGGGCCGCGGAGACGCACCGGCAGCTCCGAGTCCCCGCTGCCCGGGCGGAGCGAGGAAGCCTGGCCCGCCGCGCTGGGGGGCCGGGCCAGGGGCACCTCCCGGGAACAGCCCCCGCGCGGGGCTGCGGGCGCTCGGAGCGCGTCCCCGCCCCCTCGTCCTCTGCGCTCCCGGCCGCCGGGCCGTGTCTGGCGCTATCCTGGGTGTGTGACCCAGAGTTTCATCCCGAACCCCCTTTCAGCCAAGCCGCGGAACCGAGGGTCAGGAGGTGGAGTGTGCCGGGGCCGAAATCTGGGGTGCGGGTCGGCGAGGCGCGGGGGCGACGCTGCCCGCCTGGCCGCGCATCTGCTTTGTTCGCCCCAGCCGCGACTCCGGGGTCCAGGGCGGGGAGGCCGCGGCGGGATCCTGCTGGGCACCGGGCTGACATAGGGTCGGGGTGGGGTGCCCCGGCTCGGCCTGGGGGGTTGCTGGCGCACACATCTGGGAGAGCAGGTGTGCACGGAGCGACCCCTCCTCGCAGGCCGATAGCTGCCCGCGTCTCTGACGATGAGGTCCCACCCTGGGTACCCACCCCCGGACCTTGGAATCTGGCCCCAGCAGGCCGGGGGTCAATGATGGGAGGAAAACTGTGGGAACCTCCCCCTCAGAGCCCTTTCCGAAAGGGTTTGGGGATGTCATTGGCCTAGGAACTTGGATGCAAACTGTGGGGGTCCTCCACTGCCCTGGCCAGGCCCCAGATGCATACTGGTTTCCTGGAGGTCCCATCCCAAGGAGCCACTCCCTGACACACAAGGACCCGCCGGAGGTCCCCCAGCGACACCAACAGCCTCCTGTGGAGCCCAAGGGCTGGCCCGGGAGGCGTCCAGCAGCAGTGGGCCCACCCGCCGCTGTGTCCGCAGTCTGAGTTAGGCAGGTGCCTTCCAGACGGCTGTCTGGAGACCCTTGCCACCCTCCCTGCAAGGGTCACCAGACACACCTAGGGGCTAGTGGGCGTGAGGTTTCTTTGTTATGTGTGGGAGGGATCCAGCTTTTTCTTGCCATGGACAGCCCCGGGCCCCCTGGGGGTTCCCAGTTGCAGCTTTGTGGGGACGTGAAGGGGAGGATTTGGAGAGCAGAGCTGGGCCATGTGGGCTAAGCAGCCGGGCCCCTCTGAGCCTGCGGGTTGTGGAGACAGCCCCCCTTCCCCTGCAGGGCTATGGGCCCCAGCCTTCTTGGAGGGAGGGCCCCTGGGAGAGGAGCTTAAGACCGTTCAGTTTCTGAATCTCACTGCCTGGGGGCCTCAGAGACCTAACGCACTGAGGGCACAGACGTGTATTTATCAGATGCCTTCTCTGTGTGGGCCCTGTGTAGGGCTGGGGACAGTCAGGCAGACGGGCTGGCCACACTCAGGGGCTCACCCTTGTTACTGTGTAGCCGTTTCCTGCCTGCACAGACGGCTGGTGGTCTCCACTCCGTGGGAGCTCAGGAGCTCACAGGTGGGTGGCTGTGACTGTCATTCTCTCAGTTCACTGACTTCTGAAAACTTTATTTTGGAGAGCGCGGAGCACGCACAGAGTAGAGAGAACAGTACGGTCCAGCCCCGCCTGCCACCTTCCGGCCTGCTCGACCAGACCACCAACCTCCCTTCAATCATAATTTGTAGCAAATCTAGACATATTTTTTCATCCGTAAGTACTTCTGAAGTTATCTCTAAAAGATAAGATTTTTACAGAGTATAATTAAAATACCATTTTTGCACCTAAACAAATTAACAGTAATTTCTTAACAGCCAAGTGTGCGCACACAGAGGGGAGAAGTGAGTGGGGTGTGGCACAGAGAGCACGTCTTGAAGGTTTCCAACTGGTGCGTTTGGAAAACCAGGCTCTAGCCCGCCCCCTCAAGTCTGAGGAACAGCCCTGCCCTCAGGAGGCGGAGCCCTCGCGGGACCCACTGGACATCCTCGAAATGCTGGGGGAGGGCAGTAAGTCCAGGGACAAAGGGCTGGGGAGATGGGGTGCAGGTGCCACCACCTCTGTGACCGTCTCCCCTCCCTGCAGTCGTTTTTTTAATGACGTTCGTTTGTGCACTGCATTAACTCATTCGTTCTTTCGTTCGTGGGTGTGTGCAGAGCACCTCCCTGATGCGCAGGGCCAGGCCCTGGGCACGCAGCAGGAAACTTGAGATTTGGGCCAAGTTCTCGGCATGAATGTGACGGAAAATAGGTCAACAGCATAGCACCAGGTAACCCTACCGTCTCCACTCAGATCAGCAGTCGGCCTGGGGCGCAGAACTGTGGCACCCACTACCGTCCCCCACAGGCGTGCTGCCCCTGGGCCTGCACAGCTCAAGGTGGCAGCAGCCCCTGCAGGGGCTGGGGCCTCATCCCCTTAAGGGACTGCACTGGGCTCACAGCCAGGGTGTCGCTGTCCCACACCCTGGCTTTCCTGGGCATCAGAAACGCCTGGAAACACCTGCCCTGGCCCAGTGACCCAGGGCTGCTGAGCCACCTAGCTTGCGGCTTGGCCCAGCTGCCAAGCACCCTCAGCCCCGTGGCTGCCTGTGTGTCACTCTGTTTGTACCCCAGGAAGAGCAGCAGGCTCACCGTGGAGAATTGGTCCCTTCTTCCTACAAGGGCTTGTAGACAGGGTATCACGCAGACCTGGGGATGCCGCTTGTTAACTGTGGGCTGTGGTCGTGGGCTCATTCTCTCAACAGACAGTTATGGTGCACCTACTGTGTGCTGGGACCAAGCCTGGGCCCTGGACTCACACTTCTCATACCCAATCGCAGCCTCTGAGCCCGGGGCCTGGCACAGGGTGAGCACACAGCAGCGTTAGCACCTGTCAACTCCAGCCAAAACCAGCCTTTGTTTCCATTGAGAATTTTTTTTAAATTGAGATATAATTCACATATCACAAAATTCACCCTTTTAAAGTGTACAATTAAGTATTTTTAGTATATTCACAAAGTTGTGCAGCCATCACCACTAGGTGATTTTAGAACATTTTCGTCACTCCAGAAGGAGACCTTGTGCCCAATCGCAGTCACTCCTCGTTCCACACATACCCCTGCCCCCGGAAACCGCCAGTCTACTTCCTATGTCTTTTCTAATCTACTTCTTTCTCTCTATGGATTTGCCTATTCTGGACATCTCATGTGGAATCATAAGGAATCCTGTGGCCTTTGGTGACTGGCGTCTTGCCCTTACCATGATGTTTTCAGGGTTCACGTGTCAGCGCTTTGTTTCCTTTCATGGCTGAGTAATATTCCACCATGTGGACGGAACACATTTTGTTTACTCGTTCATCCATCAGTGGACATTTGGGTTTGATTCCACTTTGACTGTTGTGAATAGTGCTGTGGTGAGCATATGTGTGTGTGCACATGTGTGCGTTTGGGGGCATGGGTGTGTGCTCCCGCCTCTCCTGGGTGTGTGTGTAGGAGCAGAATTGCTGGGTCATGTGGGGACTCCCCGTTTAATAGTCTGAGGAACTGCTAGACGGTTTTCCACGGTGGCTGCTCCACTTTACACGCCCGAATCAGCTGTGCCTCTTCCGGGCCCGGGGCCTCCTGTCCCTGGCATCTGCCCTGGCATTTTGACTCTTAGTCTCCTATTTTCATCACATGCTTCCAATCAAATGATCAGTGTCCTTGATGGCAAAAGTTGCATCTTATTCTCTTTCCTCCCCCCACAGCTGTGACACAGGCCAGGGCACAGGATTTGCAGAACAAAGACCAGACACTGCCAGAGGGAGGTGGGAAAGAATCAAACAGAAGACAGGCGGTGGTTTCAACAGTGCAGGGTACCATGTTCTGTTAACTAGGACACCATCAATCATAGATGCCTCGCTTGGACAGGATGTTGAAATCTGATAAAATGTGCTTCTCACAGTCAGCAGGACAGGACGCTGAGCCTGTGGGTCTGGAGTTTTGTCCTAGGGGCCCCTGGATCCCAGGACCTATAATGAGGCCTACTGGTGTTCCCAGCCCCCTCCCCAAGGCAAGATGGAGAAGGACTGTGCTGTTTGGCTGAGGTCCTGCTTGCCTCTGCCTGTCCCCCAGCTCAGTGCACATGGGAGGGGGGCAGCACCTGTGGACTTCATCCTTCCTTCCTGGACTGCATCCCATAAAAATGCAGGTTGATGCTGTCCCAGCTCAGAACCCGTGAGCGGCTTCTCCCAGCTCACTCAGAGTAGCAGCCACAGTCCTGACGACGTTTCTGTGATGGGCACCGCCCACCGCCGTTCCTCAGACGCACAGCCATGCTCCCCTCAGGACCTCTGCTGGTCCGTCTCACCCAGGTATCGCCCAACTCCTGCCCACCTTGAGACCCTTCCCCCACTGCCCCCAGCAAGGCCCACCCCCAAGGGCAGAGTCACCTATTTTGTTCATGCCGTGTCCCCAGCGCAGAGTGGGTACTCAGGAAGCCTATTGGATGACTGAATGAATGAACAAACGAACGAGTGAACGAGTGCCTTCTTTCCTGGCCAAGAGGCCCCACCCAGCGAGAGAGGGCAGCTGTAAGCAGAGACCCCACCTCTGTCCCCCTTCTTTCAGAAACCCACCTCCACCTGGCTCAGGGCCCAGGGACACAGAGCAGCCTCCCATGGGCACACGGTCAGGCGAGTCTCGCCTCGCTCCTGCCCTGTCCGGTCGCCAGCCCCATGCCATGACTCGGGAACAGAGGCCGGCAGGTGGCGGCTGAGACCCTGGAGGCCATGGTCCCCGGGCCGTGTGCCTGAGATGAGCTGCGTCTCTAAAGCACAAAACTCAGCACTTGTGATGTTGGTTGAAAAACAGAGAGTGCTGGGGCCATGCCTGTCACAGACCAATCTGAGAACACGTGAGCTGCTGTCACTGTTCTTGTTGTTAACCCAGAGCCACCTGCCCGTTTGGAGGCTCGAGACAGACAGCAGCACCTGCCCCAAACCGAGCCCCCAGCCCCGACAGCGACCCGCAGCCATGGGCCCCATGTGTGGAATTGTCTGTGTTGTGGGCGCAGCACAGGCCAGTGGGGCACGAGCACACTCCCATCACACTGACACCCTGGGGGAGGGACCCCGGGGCCACTGCACCAACACCCCTCGAGGAAACAAAGCAAATCTCCTGCAGACTGAAAGCCCCCAGGGGTCAGTCTTCGACCCTTGACCACAACTCTCAGCTGGACGGCCTGGGCTCGAGGCAGAGCTCAGCTCCCCGTTGCTCCGAGCAGGTCCCAGTCACATCTCTTGTGCCCTCTGGGTGGGAAGGTGTCCTTGCCAGCTGGGCATGTGGGACACTGGTGGGTGTAACTCTACCCTCTGAGGATGCTCAAAAGCCACGTTCCAAATGTTGCTGAGAGGTGGAAACCGATCCCTGGAGCCCCCGTCTGTCCTGGGTGGGCCCAGGCCCCATGTGATGACACAACAAGGGCAGAGCTCAGCAGTCTGCGGGTCAGCAGGGCCACCTTCCCTCAGCCACACGGCCTAGGGGCGACCTGGCCAGCTCTGCAGCTGCAAATCGATGGCATTATCTTCTCTCTCAGATGGGGACCCTCCAGACTCACGTGCCAGCCGGCGTCCAGGCTGCTGACCACACTGTCGGGGAGGACACAGGCAGCTGTTGGCACTAAGGGCCCCAGCCGGGCCCCCCTTGGCACAACGCTGAAGGCAGCTGCTCCTGTGGCTTCATCCACACCCCTCTCTCAGTGTTCACCCTGTGGGGTGGGCAGGGCCCTGCTGCAGGGAGCGTGGAGGGCCCTGTTCACTCCAGTCCTTACTGAGCACCTGCTCGGCCGGGGGCCCCTCAGCTGAGGGACGGTGGGGATCTGTGGGGAGGGGTCCCAGGAGAGGGCGGCAGTGGGGCCACAGTGGGGACGTGGGGGAGCCAAGGGGTCCAGTTGCCTCAGAGGACCCTTGAGCTCTCTGCGGGGGGCGATGGAGCCTGGCCATTGTGGAGGGGGAGATGCTGGTGGGCCCGAGGCATTCTGAGGAGGAGCTAGTAAGGTGTGGATGGGGGGATGTGAGCCGACAGGACAGGTGTCGCCCCAGCAACAGAAGGGCACAGTTGGCGCTTTTGTGGGGCCAAGGTCTCATCTCTGAGTGGCAGTCTCCTCCCCAAGGGGCCTCCTGCTCTCATCCAACGAAAAATTGTTAAATATTAAAAACAAGTAATTATATTTTAAAAAATAATAATTGCATAGAAAAAACCTGGAGGAACATTCCTCAATGGTGAAGCGTGGTTGGTGGTGAGGGGTCGGCTCCTTCCTCCTGTTCTGTAACTCTTCTACTATGAGAGTGTATTATTTTGAATTCAAAAACAACATAGATTTTTTTTTAAAAGGCAGTCCACAGAGGACAGATAGACGAGCAGGGGCTGTTCTGGGTTAACGGGAGCCAATGGAGAAGGAAATGCATGAGTGACCGCTGGACCCTCGGTTGGAACAGAGTAGAGACAAGTGACAGTGTCAGGACCCTGTGGGCCCTGAGCTGATGGGACCAGCAGGAAGTCCCACTGAGACCTGCATGGCCTGTGCTCCAGCACGCAGGGCAAGGTCATCCCCTTCCTTGTCCACAGCAGGAGGCCACCATGGAGAAGCCCCTGTCCTTGTCTGGGTCCTGGTCACTGCTCTGAGCCTCCAGTGAGGGCGCCAGGAGCCGCATTCTCTAGTCCTCCCTGCCTGCACCCTGTAGGGTGTGGGAACCCCACGTCTCTTCTTGGGGAGGAGCCCCGTGTCTCCTCCTGGGGGTGTAGGAGCCCCCACGTCTCTTCCTGGGGAGGAGCCCCGTGTCTCCTCCTGGGGGTGTAGGAGCCCCCACGTCTCTTCCTGGGGAGGAGCCCCGTGTCTCCTCCTGGGGTTGTGGGAGCTTCCACATCTCTTCCTGGGGAGGAGCCCCCATGTCTCCTCTCAGGTTAACAACTTCTGTCTTTTTGCAGAAATAGTTAAGGAGGTTGAGGTGCCACAGGCTGCCCTGGGCACCCCGGCCCACGGACCAGGGGACAGCGGGCACTCGCCTGTGGCTGAGGAGGAGGTGGGCATCCCGATACCGGCACCAGGGCTCCTGCAGGTCACAGAGAGGAGGCGTGAGTATGGCCGACCTGCCCAGCACTCTCCATGGGGACCCAAGAGCTCCCCTGGGAAATTCAGGGGGGCCCTGTCTACACACCCTTTTGGCTGTGGGGGTGGGGCCTTGGCTGCACCATCTGTGGAACAGGGGACCCCAGAAGGCATTTAGTCTTGAGTGTGGAGAGCAGACGGTGGGATCTGGGTCCGCCCCACCTATCCTGACCTGGCTGGGCTTTACCCAGAGTTCTGGTTCCTCACTGGGCCTCCTGGGGGGCTCTTGGTGGAGGGACTGTGCCAGTGACCAGCCCCCTCTGCCCCCAGAGCCCCTGAGCAGTGTCTCCTCTCTGGAGGTGCACTTTGACCTCCTGGACCTCACCGAGCTGACTGACATGTCCGACCAGGAGCTGGCCGAGGTCTTCGCTGACTCGGACGACGAGAACCTGACCAGCGAGTCACCGGCAGGTGGGGCTGGTGTTGGGGCTCAGCGGGCAGTGTGGGGAGGTCTGGGGCTGAAGACCCCCCCAGCCCTGGACATTGCTTTTTGCAAACCTCTTTTTTTGAAAATAATTTTCTCTCAAGTGTGTGTTTAAGTATTTATCACCACTGCACCATTTCATGCAACATTTTTGCATTTTACTTATCTATTTGCCCAATTTTAAGGAATTTTCCTCCTGTTAAAACTACGCCTCAATTCTAATTTTCAAACACCAACAAAGGTCAAGGCCACAGTCCCACCAAAGGTAGAATTTACTACATGTGAATTTAATCGCAAGTTAGGCCCAGCACAAAGAGGGTGGCATTTGCCTGGCCCCTCCTCAGCTCAGCCCTGACTTGGTTTCCCTTTCAGTTCTCAGGGAAGCGTTGCCCTTAGCCCAAGACCCTGAAGGCCTCAGAGACAGCAAGGAAGCCAGTGGGGGCCCAGTGGCCTTCCTCCCTCCCTGCTCACACCTCACGCAGGCAGGAGGTGGAGGGGTGGGTCGGGGGCTCAGACCCCAACCCTGCAGAGCCTGCTCCCTGGGAGGGCGGGGGGGTGGTCGGCTGCTCCGGGCCAGGCCACACCCGGACCCACACATCTGCATTGCTGGTGGCCCAGCACCTGGGTGTTTTATAAGCATCCAGAGGACCCCAGTATGCAGCCGAACCCCACGATGGAGGCACATACAGGGGACCCCAGTCTCACTGACCCCTACCCTCGTGTTCCCGCCAGGTCTGCACCCGCTGCCCCGGGCCGGCTGTCTGCGCTCCCCCTCCTGGACGCGCACCAGGGCCGAGCAGAACCGCGAGAAGCAGCCCGTCAGTGACGCCGAGCGGCAGCCGGGAATTGTGGACACGTGTCTCACCGTGGAGAGGCCCAAGGAGGACTAGGGGGCTGGCCCCAGGGCCGCGTGGGAAGACCTGGACAGTCGTGGCCCCATGGACACTCTGCCCGCCCCACGTGGCTCCGGGCCGGGGTCTCGGGGCACCCCAGCACAAGCACAGTCCAGTGGCCTTACGTCCAGCTCCTTCCTGGTCCCTGGATCAGGGACCACAACAGCCGGGGATGAGATGGGAGTGGCCTGGGCCTTCTGGAAACTTCTTTCTGCAGGACTGGTGCTCTCGTCTGTCACAAGATTCCTGAGTGGGTTCTGGGTGTGGGGGGACCTGAGCCAGCAAGAGCTGCTCTGCAAAGCCCCTGGGGGTTTTGGGGTTCTAGTCTGTGAATGGCCACACCGAGCTCCAGCCCATGGGATGCTCTGCTGTCCAGCCAAGTATGTGGGTGGGCGGGTCCTTAAAATTGCCACCTTGATTTCAATCATGTCCCCTTCCTGCAGCCCAGGGAGCAATGTCGGCACCAGGGTCCCCTCCCCAGGCCCTAAAACCCTGCCTCTCCTGGTCTCTGCGACAGCAGGGCCCACTCCCCTAGCTCAGAACACCAAATATGGCACCACTGCCTCCGACTGCTGGGCAGGGGTTCACCTTAGCCTGTGACATTCCCACAATCCAGCACGCACCCCCGTGGGTCTGAGTCCCCAGCCAGCCTCCTGGCCTGGGGTGGAGCAGCCCGAGGTGGGCGGGGATGTGAGGGGACCTGTGCACAGCCCCCGGCCCCCAATTCAGGGGCACCAGGCTCGGCTATTCCCAATGCTGCTGCCTACGTGCTAAGGGATAGAATAGGCTTCTGGTCTGCCAGCGAGTCCAAGAATGGTTTTAAAATACACATGTAAGCTTGCTCTCTGTCCCCACGCCAACCTGCCCTGACCCATCCCCCACTGGAACGTTTCTGGGGAAGGAAGCCGGGCTCTTCTGTGGATGCGCTGGGCATGTGCTGGACCCACTGCGTGCAGCTACAGGCAAGTCCCTGCCAGGAAAACAGGCCTCAGAAACGCAGGAGTTTGCCTTCCGCGCGGGGCCTGGGGGACACCGCCCACGCCCTCCACGCACGATGAGCAGCACCATGCAGATGCTGACCAGACGCGACCGAGAATTCCTCTTAAAACCGCTCCCACCCCACCAACCGGGTCTTCCTGCCCAATTTCCATCCTTCTTGCTGCAGCTTCCGCAGAGCTCGTTGACAAAAAGTGGGATTAAAACATCACCCACCCCAAGGCCTCACCAGGTCTCTTCCTTTCAGCTGACCCCAGCGCTCAGGGGCGGGGCTGACGCTCGAGGAGCAATGCTCATGCTCCAGGTCTTTCTCCAGCTGCAGCCACTAGGGGCTCAGCCTTGCTGCCTCCGGGCTGCTTATCTGGGTCACACTTCAGGGACAAGTGCCCTGGTCGTCTGGTCATTAGGTGAAGATCCTGCCCCCACACAAGCCCAAGCTGGAAGCGGAACAAGGTTCCCTGGTGAGTCTCCCAGTGAGGACAACAGGCTTCTCACAGGGAGGCAGCCAGCAAGCAGGGCCCCTCTGCGAGCAGAAGGCCAAGGCCAAGGCCCAACCCCAACCATTTTAACCACCTGTGAGACGGGCCCAGAGAACAGACGCTGGGCACCATGCAGGTGGGTCCCCAGCCTCCCTGACAGAAGATTCTCAGCCAGGTCTCCTCCATCTGTGGGCCCAGGAACTGACCTGAAGCTGGGGAATGGGTGCCCAGGTGGCTCTGGATGCCACAGCGCCTCCCTAGGATTGAGGGGAGCACCCAGACAGGACCCTGGCAGGACCCCCAAACCACTCAGCTAACGGAGGCTGAATCTGGTGGAAGCTGCATTACACAGTGAGCCCTAAATTTGTTTGTTTGTTTTGGTGAGGAAGATTAGCCCTGAGCTAACATCTGCTGCCAATCCTCCTCTTTTTGCTGAGGAAGACTGGCCCTGAGCTAACATCCGTGCCCATCTTCCCCTACTTTATACGTGGGATGCCTCCCACAGCATGGCTTTGCCAAGTGGTGCATAGGTCCGCACCCGGAATCTGAACCCACGAACCCCAGGCTGCCAAAGCAGAATGTGGGAACTTTGCTGCTGCCCCACCGGGCTGGCCCCCTGGAGATTTAAAAAAATTCAATAATGCACATTTTACAAACAAGAGAAGTTGAAAGTGCTTGTTCCAAGTTGGAAATTATATTTTTGAGGCAAACATAACAAACGATTTGGAAAATTTAAGACCAAGTCCCAGTGTCTGGTCTTAGATGGGCCAAGAGCAGTGGGCAGGTGCGTCATGGAAAGAGGCCACTCCCTGCCCCCCACAGCCAGTCACCCCAGGATGTCTTGAGCAGCAGTCAGGCGAGCAGAGGGTTACCAGGTGACCCAGACATTGCCCACCCACACGAAGGCAGCAGCTGATGCCCCGTGAGTGTCACGATTCTGACAACTCCAGGGGGCAGGCGTGCGCTGGGACCCCTCCACTAACCAGGTTCCCCGTCCTGACTCTGCCTCCCAGGGCACTGGGCGCGAGCATCAGACCTAGGGCTCTCCACCTACGACTGGCTCTCCCCTCGTCTGGCAGCTGCCTGACACCAGAAAGAGGGTTAACAGGTAGTGACAGCAGCACCCCCACATAAGGCCCAGAGCCTCTCTCGTGATCCTAAAAGGGTAACAGGCCCACCGGTTACCGAAGGGGGTGAATCCAGACACATTCTGTTGCTCAGGCCCCCGCCAAAGATGGATGCTGGTTTTTCCTTTTAAAGACTGGCACCTGAGCTAACATCTGTTGCTAATCTTTTTTGTCTTCTTCTCCCCAAAGCCTGCCAGTACAGAGTTGTATGTTCTACTGTGAGTGCCTCTGCTTGTGGCATGTGGGACGCCGCCTCAGCATGGCCTAATGAGCAGTGCTATGTCCATGCCCAGGATCCGAACCAGGGGAACCCTGGGCCACTGAAGCAGAGCGCGCGAACTTAACCCCTCGGCCACAGGGCCAGCCCCTGGGTGCTGGGTTCTGAGAAACTGCCTCCCTCACACTCAGCCCAGGTGCTGGGGGACTCGGGCCCCCAAGGCCTCACCATCCTCCCGTAACCACACCCCTCTGGGAAGTGCTGAGTTTCCTCCATAAAGACTGACAGGCCTTCCACCCAAATGGCTATTTTAAAAACTAAACTTTTCCTTGATAATTGGCTCATAATTTCCTTTTCTTAATTCTGCCGCCTCACCAAACCCTGAGCAATTCTGGCCTGAGCCAGAAGCCTCCTCTCCTTGAGGCAATTACAGTGACCAGCACTTAACACTTCTCCACGAGGCACTGTCCCCACCACATGCGACCACCACCCATCCTGTCAGAGGCCCACAGGGGTCCAACACTCGCGGTCTCCAGGAAGACACAACGCCCTCTGCTCCTGGGGTGGCAGGTGAGTTACGGCTCGCTGCCCTCCCCTGACTTGGGCCCCTGTCCTCTAGGAACAGGGTTCCAGCTCCTGTCACAGGGGAAGGCCATATTCTGGGAGCGGGATCACTGCGAGGTCAGAGTGCCCTCATCTAAAACGCCCATCTGCAGTTATCACGTGTTTTAATGTGTTTTCTGGTAATTCCCGCCACTGCTCCCAGAGGTAGAGTGGCTAAGTTGGGCTCTCCTGCATTCAATGCTCCGTGCTCCCCTCCTCCTGTCCCCAGTTCCAGCCCTTCAGCCCCTCGGGAAGGGACGTGTCCTCCTCTAGGCTGCCGGTGCCTTCCACAAACTCTTCATAGGTGGACTTCTCCGCGAAGGGCCGGGGGCCCAGCAGCTCCAACATGTCCGGCTTCTCCAGCACCTCCTTCTCCAGCAGCCGCTTGCCCACCTGGAAATCACAGCTGCCCATCAGGCTATCCTGAACAAGTCCACTCAGCCACTCCAGGACAGTGGGCACCGCCAAAGGCAGGCCCCAAACCTGAGCATCCCACGGGGACGGGGCCCGGCCCTATACCCGGCCTGACTCGCCTTGTCCACCCGGTCCCGGCACCGCATCAGCAGGTCCAGGGTCCGCTCGTAGGCAGAGCTGATGAGGCACCGGACCTCCTCGTCAATGAGCTGGGCAGTGGCCTCACTGTACGGTCTCTCCACCAGCGTCTCACCTTGCCGGGGAAGGTCCAAGGACACCTGGCCTAGCTTTTCGCTCATCCCAAACTGCACAACCTGGAAGTGAGCGAGGAGCCGAGGGTGAGCCTGGCTGGGCGAGGCTCCGAAGAGCCCCTCCGGGGTCGCTGCCCTTTACCTGGGCGTAGGCACTATGGGTGACCTTCCTCAAGTCGTCCTGGGCCCCCGTGGTGATCTGCCCAAAGAAGACCTGCTCGGCCACCCTGCCCCCCAGCATCACACACACGCGGTCCAGGAGCTGTTCCCGCGTGTACAGGTGCTGCTCCCTGGGCAAGCACTGGACATAGCCCAGCCCCTCACCCCGGGGGATGATGGACACCTTCAAGGCATGGCAGGCGGGCCCTCGTCACTCCCTGAGCAGAGCCTGCCCCTTCAGGGGCCACCCTGGAGCACCCCAGGCCAACGTTGCCCAGCTCTGACCGTCAGTCTCTCCACAATACTGTGGGAAGAGAGAAAACCCCTGGGCCCACCACCACCAGGGGCCACCCCCAGGGTTAACGTGGAAACCACCTCTGTCCTGCCCCTCAAGGAAGTTCCAGAGGAGCCGCAACTTCAGGGCCAAAGCTTAGGAGCGAGGCGAGTTTAGCAGCAAACCTCTAGGGTGTCAAGTGCCTGCATTCAGACATCCTCTCTGCCTACCCACCCCCTAAAGAATCTTTTTTCCCCCCTTTGGTAAGGAAGATTGGCCCTGAGCTAACACCCCACTGCGCCACCAGGCCAGCCCCCCAAAGAATCTTTCGACAAATTCCAGACCATTACATTCCTTGAAAACTAAAACGGCCACCACCTTGAATGTATGGTGCCCACATGACCACAGACCCCACACACAGCCAGCCACCCAGGTCGGGTGAACACCCAGGCCCACAGAACGAAGGACGAGCTGGGAAGGGAGGAGGCCCCAAGCCCCAGCACAGACACACTGGGTGACGAGAGACTAACCTTCAGCAGGGGGTCCGCATGCTCCAGGATCCAGCCCACCACCGCGTGTCCAGCCTCATGGTAGGCCACAGTCGCCTTCTCGCTGGGCTGCAGGACCTGCGTCTTCTTCTCAAGGCCTACAAATCCCATTCCCAGGACAGCTGGGGAGAGGGCGCCAAGTCCCCGCTCTCCACTCAGGGGGGGCCGGGGACTGGTCAGAGCCTCTGCTCAGCCAGGACAGACCCACCGCCTATCTGCCCCCACACATGCCCCCAGGCCCTTCCACGCCGGACACTGCTGCCTTCTGTACCGCAGAAACCCCGCCGCCCCAGCTCTGAAGAAGGCCTCCCCCATGCAGCCTGCATGCAGCGGACCACTTTAGAAGGCCCGTTTTTAGCCAAAAGGACTGGCTACTTTCTACAGCTTGACTAGAAGTGACGCCAGAAGCATGGAGAGAGAGGAGTGATTCTCAATGCCCTCCCACAACCCAGCTCACAGGCAGGGAGGACACAGAAGAGCCACAGACAACTGGTGATGAGCCCAGCTCCAACTGATCAACCCTCCAGAGGCCGTGGGGACTGCCCTGGGCTAGGTAACACTCGGGGCACTTTCCTGTGCTTGTCGCACTTCAATAAAAAAACAGATGCGCTGCAACCTGCTGCTGGGCTAACATCAGTTCTCACAGCTGTGGGGCTGGACCATGAAGGACAGCTGCTGGTCACATGGACGTCTCCCTGGCCTCTGTCCCAGCAAGGCACTGGGAGACCCTTACCCATCGCTGACTAGTTTCCCGAGCTGCTGGCTGAAGACAGGAGACCTGACAGGCGGCCCCCACACTGAGGCACAGGCACTGCCCCAGCAGGACGACGCTCCCGGGAAACCCTCCTCTTGTCCAGTCAGCATTCAAACCAGGGACAATCCCGTGCCCTGGAGGTCCCCTCTCTTTGGGATTCTAAACCTAACTCCAGAAGGGGTATGAAAGCTGCTGTCAGATCCTAAGCCCAACTTTGATTTGGAAAACTGTCCACGGCTCCTGTGCACTTAAGTGAGGCTGGGCCCCAGGGTGTGCCTGCCACATGCAGGCCAGAGCGGGACACACCCCCCAGGGCTGCCCGGCTCACCTCCAATGACCCTCTCGATGGCCTGCTCGAAGTGCTTCTCCTGAACAGAGAGACTCAGGTGGCAGGCGGCGATCAGGGCTGCTTCATTGCAAACGTTAGAAATGTCAGCACCTGACCCCGGAAAGGAGAAACCAGCTGACGTCGGTGCTCCAGGGCCGTCACCACAGGAAAGTCTCCTGCAGAGCACCCAGAGCTGAGCCGGGGCCAGGGCTTAAGGGAGACGCAAGGGCCGTGTCAGTCACCAGGGTTCCAGCCAGTTTTTCTTCAACAACTTATTGAGGTATAATTCATCTAACATAAAATCCACCCATTTTAAGTGTATACTTCAAAGACTTTCAGTAAATTTATCACGTTGACTGACTATCGCCCTAATCTCATCTCAGACATTTCCATTATCCACATAAGATACCCGGTGCTCCTTCCAGTCATTCCCATGCCCGCCCCCAGCCCACCACTGATCTCTTTCTGGCTCCGTGGATTCGCCTGTCCTGGACACTCCGTGTGAACGGGTCACACAGTATGTGGCCTTTTGTGACTTCTTTCTTCACTTGGCATGATATTGCGAGATGCATCCATACTGTAGAATGCACCAGTACTTCATGTCTTTTCACGACTGAATGATATTCTATTACACATAACACACCTTTCATTTATCCATCATGGACGTGTGGGTTGTTTCCACCTTTTGGCTATTATAAATGCTGCTGCTATGGACATTCACATACAAGTCTCTGTATGGACTCGTTTTCAATTCTTTTGGGTAGCTACCAAGGAGTGGAACTGCTGGGTCATATGGTAACTCTGGATTTTACTTTTTGAAAAACCACCAAACTGATTTCCACAACTGCACTATTTTATATTCCCGCCAGCGATCTATGAAGGTTCCTATTTCTCTACATCCTGTACCTACTCCTCGTGTTGTCTTTTATTGCCATCCTGGTGGGTGTGACATGGTATTTCACTGTGGTTTTGATTGCATTTTCCTAATGGCTAATAATACTCAGCATCTTTTCATGTGCTTTTTGGCCATTTGTGTATCTTCTTCGGAAAAATGTCTATTCAAATCCTTTGCCCATTTATAAATTGGGTTCTTTTTGTTGTTGAGTTGTAAAAGTTCTTTATATATTCTGGATGCTAAACCCTTACAAGATGCATGATTTCCAAACATTTTCTTCCATTCTATAAGTCGTCTTTTCACTCTCTTGATAATGTCCTTTGATACACAAAAGATTTTAATTTTGAAGGAGCGCAATTTAGTTTTTCATTTGTTGCTTGTGCTTCTGGCATCATATTTAAGAAATCACTGCCAAAACCAAGGTAATGAAGATTTCCTCCCATGTTTTTTCCTAAGAGCTTTATAGTTACAGCTCTTAAATTTAGGTCTTTCATCCACTTTACCTTTTGTATATGGTGTAAGGGTCCAGTCTTCCGCATGTGGAGGTCCAGTTGTTGCAACACCATTTGTTGAGACGTTCTTTCCTCATTAAATGGTCTGCACATCCTTGACAAAAAACAAGTGACCAAAGATGGACAGGCTTCCAACCAGATACTCCACTCCATCCCACTGGTCTGTCTGTCCTTGTGCCCGTGTGCCTGTTTTGTTTACTGGAGCTTTGCAGTAAGCTTCGAAATGGGGAAGTGCGAGTCCTCCGCCTCTGCTGTTCCTTTACAAGATTGTTTTGGTTATTGAAGCCCCTTGCCATTCTCATGAATTTTAAGATCAGCTTTTCCATTTCCGGCTTTAATAATTACACAAACTCTCTGTTGCTGTGCACCTCCCTCCCTCCATCTTCATGTTGTTAATGTCACAGGTTACATCTTTTTGCATCGCATATTGTTTTACGCACTTTTCTTTTAAATCATATAGGGGAAAAAAAGGAGTTACAAACCAAAAATACAGTAATACTGGCCTTTATATTTACCTGTGTAGGCATCGCCACAATGTTCTTTGGTTCCTCATGTGACTTCAAGTTACTGGCTAGTGTCCTTTCATTTCACGCTTGAAGGACTCCCTTTAACATTTCTCGCAGGACAGGTCTTAATGTAATAAACCCCCCCTCAACGTTTTCTTTTGGGTTTTTTTTTTGGTGAGGAAGATTCACCCTGAGCTAACATCTGATGCCATTCCTCGCAGTTTGTATGTGGGACGCCGTCACAGCGTGGCTGATGAGTGGACTAGGTCTGCGCCCAGGATCCGATCCTGTGAACCCAGGCCCCTGAAGCAGAGCATGAGGAACTTTAACCACTTGGCCACAGGGCCAGCCCCTCAACTTTAAATGTGAGAATGTCTTAATTTTTCCTTTATTCCTACAGGATGGTTTTTGCCAGATACAGAACTGCCGGTTGCGTTTTTCTTTTAGCACCTTGACTTTGTCATCCCACTGCCTTTTGGCCTCCATGGTTTTTTTTTTTCCTTTCTGCTTTTTCTCCCCAAATCCCCCCAGTACATAGTTGTGTATTTTTAGTTGTGAGTCCTTCTAATTGTGGCATGTGGGACGCTGCCTCAGCATGGCCTGATGAGTGGTGCCATGTCTGTGCCCAGGATCTGAACCAGTGAAACCCTGGGCTGCCGAAGCGGAGCGCGTGAACTTACCCACTTGGCCCCAGGCCGGCCCCTCCACGGCTTCTAATGAGGAAGCAGCTGCTGAGCTAATTGAAGCTCCCTCAGACATGAAGTGTCCCTTTCTGTCTTTGCTTCTGGTTCTGACAGTGGGACTGTAACGTGTCTCAGGGTGGATCTCTCTGAGTTTACCCCTCCTTGGAGTCCACAGACTTCCTGGATGTGTAGATTCATGTCTTTTATGCAATTGGGGCAGTTCTGAACTACTCTTTCTTCGTCTATTCTCTGTTCCACCCTCTTTTTGCTCTGGGACACCCACAACATGTATGTTGGTCCAGGTGGTGGTGTCCTGTGTGTCCCTAGGCTCTGTTCACTTTCCTTCATTGTTTTCTCTTCCTGCTACTCCGACTGCATCACTTCATGCACTTCAAGCTGATTCTTTCTTCTGTCTGCTCAAAGCTGCTGTTGAACCCCTCTAGTGAATGTTTCATTTCAATGACAGTACTTTTCTGCTCCACAATTCCTATTTGTTTACTTCTTATAATTTCTATTTCTTTACTAATATTCTCTATTTGTCGAGACAGTAGTTCTCTGGTTTCCTTCAGCTCTTGGGGCATGCATATTTAAGACAGTTCACTTAAATCTCTGTCTAGTGAACCCAAAGTCTCTGCTACCTCAGGGACCGTTTCTGTCCATTTTTTTTCCTGTGAATGACTTATATTTGTTTTTTGCATGCATTGTAATTTTTTGTTGAGCCATTAGCCAACTTCTAAAATGCCCTTTTTCTTTAATTTTTATTAATACATTGTAGTGCAAAGAACGAGCACAGATGAAAAAAGAGAATTTTAAGTGTCAGGTTTCCAAAAAACACCCGGTTTAAAAGGGCTGCATCCCCCTCAGGGTCCTGCAGCAATGTGGAGAGAGGAGGGCTCAAGAGTCAAAGAGCCATCACAGCTCCACAGTCAGCGGTTATTTCTGTGGCTTTTGAAAATGTGTCAACAGTTCTTTTACTCCAAGAATTCCACATCCCCTTCTCTGTGTGAGGGCAGATGCCCCACTCTCCATCGTTGCCGTCTCGACACTCGCAGAGACTGTGTCTGTCTCCCCTCGGAGACAGCAGGACCCACAGGACTAGCCTGAGGGAGGAGGGCGACTCCATGAGGCAGCCTCCCAGGACCCACGGGCTGAGGCTGCTGAGTTCTGGGTCATCCTGCTGAGTCACCACTGTTGAGGGGCAAGCTCTAATTTTGCTGGTCAAGAAAAAACAAAGTCCGGTGGTCTATTCCAGTTTCTGAACTTCGCTGTGTAAGTGAACGTGTGAAGCCATGAGGGGAGAGAACCAAGGCAGAAAGCACGTTCTGGCAAGGAGACAGATCAAGTCCTTCACATATCAGCCTGCTCAGGCGAGAACTCGTCACTCATCCCCCGACAGATGACAAATGCACACTCCTTTGTCTGTGTGTGATCTGACCCCAGTCCTTGCCCAGCACTGGGCAGGACACTGAGGAGATCGTGGCCTCAGTGGCTGGAGGAGATGAGACTAAACAGTGGAATGCTTCAGGGTGGCAGGAGCAGTGGCCAAGAGCTCATCATACTAACCACAAAGCTTACAAAAGGGCTGCTGAGCAGAGGGAGCCCTGGAAAAGCCCTAAAGTCCTGGTATACAAACTACCCTGGTAGGGAAACAAGCTTCCTAGTACAGGAGCTTGGGTTTTACTTCCAAAGAAGAGAGAGATGGAAAGGAAGCTGCCAGGTTGGGACCCTAAGCCCAAGACTGTAAAACCCAGCTCCCTCTTCCCTGCAGTAGGTCTGTCCTCAGACAGTAGTTTGGTCTCTGCAATAACAATTATCAAGACTAAACAGAACAAAACACAGAAGTTCAAATAGGTATAAATTAGCTTTGGGCCTAATCTTCCCTGAGGCCTCAGTATGTCTCAACAGATTCCAGATTCTAAAGACAAACGCGGGCACTTGCCAGCACCAATGGGCATGACCAGAAACCACCCATGGATTACACATGGCCCCTCAGACAGCAGCATGGCCCAGCCCACACTCACCTGTGAAGCCTGGAGTCAGTGCCGCCAGCTTCCTCACCAAGGTGTCCTTGCTGAGGGTCTTGTCCAACTTCAGTGGACGCAGGTGGACCTTGAAGATGGAGGACCTGCCTTTGATGTCAGGGGGGCCTAACGGAGAAAGCAACACACAGACGGCCAGAGCAAGGTCACCCACAGACACTTCACAAAAGCATACAGACGGCCTGGGGTTCCAGGCGCCTTCCCCACCGTGTCGGTACCTCACACGCGGTTATCTGACGGGAGCCAGGGAGCAATGGTGGAAATAACCCAAAGCTCAGGTACACTCAGCCCGCAAACCCATTAAAACACTTTCCTAACTGTGCTGCATCTAGCCAACGTTAACTCCACCCCAGGGCCAGGCCCCGACAGTGAGCAAGACGAGGACTGCCCCAGCAGCAGGGGACGTCCAGCAGGATCAACGTCTTCTCACAAAGAAAAGGGCCGGGAAGAGAAAGACGGCTGACCATCAGAGTGCAGGGAAGAGTGAACTCTTCTCTTCTAAACTATCCTTCAAGCTTTTATAACAGCATACAAAAAAATAACCGCTGAAGAAGAGAAATGCGCCACGTCACTTCTACCTATGTGGACTGCGGTGACATTCCCCCAGGCCCAACCACGTCTCTTATCCCAAAAAGTTGATGGCTGGGAGACACGAACCAGCAGCAACCAAGAGCACTCACTCGTCTCCACTGTTTCAAAATATTATGTTAACTGCTTCAGGACCTCAAGCAAAATTTCCTCCAAATACAGAGCTAATGATCTACCAAACTTCTAACCCAAGGGCTTGAAGATGCAAACCCAGTGCCCAAGCAACTGATATACTCACTGATATAAATCTGGCGGTCAAACCGGCCGCGCCGCATCAGGGCCGGGTCGAGGATGTCGGGGCGGTTGGTGCCAGCCAGCACCACGACATTCGTGCTAGAGTTGAACCCTGGACATGAGAGAAGCAGGTGAGCTTGAGAGGGCCTGGGGTCTGTGACTGCACAGGACCCAGCAGGCTGGCGTCTGTCAGGGCAACACTGGGTTCCTCGGTGTCTTTCCTCCTTCTCCTGGTCCTGAGAGCATATCCCACTGCCCTTCCCCTGCACACCTGTCCCCATCTTTCCAGGGCCACTGCCCACCCCAAACAGCCCCACACAGGCTCTGCTTTTCCTTCTGCTCGCTCCACACCTCAGTGCAAAAGCCACTCTCTGGTGGGGCAGACGCTCACACCCAGGGCTGGCTCTGACAGCCCCTCCCTGACCCTTCACAGGCCACACCAATGGCTCTGGGTCCACTGCTGCAGCTGAGATGCATCTCCAGTGGTGGGAAGCCAGACATTCCTCAGCTAACTGGGATCCCATGGCCCAGTCTCAGGATATGGACCCCCATCCTGATTCATTACTGGTTCTGGCTAGCCTCTGACACCACATAATACGACCCAGGGGATGGGGAGAGCTGCCCTGTGTCAGCGCCTGTGGCCACCTGCTAAGGCCGCCAATCACTCAGGTCCCTGGCAGGGCTCAGGGAGCTGGACTGGATGAGGGCAGGTAGGGACTGCACGGAGGAGGGGATGCCCAACAGAGGGGGAGGGGGAGAGAAGGACAGTGGCAGTGCTCCACCCACTCCTTTCCACTGACTGCTCTCTCCTATCAGCCCTTCCAGACAGCAGAACAGAGATAATCTCATTAGAATTACTGGTGGAAACTAAACACAATAAAAGATTTTGGAAATGTTTTGGTCTGTGCAGAAAAGAACTAACACAACAGGCCTAAAGGCTCACTCTCAGAAAGGCCTGCTTACAAGCAGCCCCTCGGCTGCCTATGGGACCTCGGATTTGGGGACGGTCCCTCCATTCCCTGATAAGAGGGCTCCCTGTGCCTAAACTGTTTGCAAACACGGTGGTTTATGCTGAGCACCTGCCTTCCACCAGGAGGCTGGCCTTTGGGCACATGCTGGGCAGAGGGTGCCACGTGACCAGCCCCCACTGAAGACCTTGGGGGCTGGGTCTCCACAGCCTTCCCAGGTCGACTACACTCCCAGGTGTCGTCAGAACTCGATGCCGGAGAAGCAAGTGTATCCTGCAACTCAGCGCACGGGGAGAGGGTTCTAGAAGCTGCAGCCGGACTCTGCCCACGTGCCTCCTCCCTGTGCTGATTTTGCTGGGGATCCTGTCATTGCAGTCAGTCTCAGTCACGAGTATGACTACACGTGGAGTCCTGAGAGTCCTCCCAGCAAATCCCCGAACTCAGGGTGGTCCTGAAGTCAAAGTGAAGATAAGACACACCAAAGGTCCAGCGAAAGTTCCTCCAAATTGGAAATGTGGCCTCAATGCCCAGACGCTTCCCATGGAGCCTCAGGTGGCTTGAGAGCCAGCAGACACACTTAAGTGGAGTCACTCTGAGTTGCCTTGACTGGCAGGAAGGAGAGATCTTGGCACAGGTAGGTACTCTGGGTCAGGAAGGGCAGCGAGAGCAGCTCTGAGTGGAAAGAGCATGGGCTGTAGCCATGCTGTCCTGTGGCCCCGATGCCTGTGCTAAGAGAGTTGGGGGCCCTGGCCCACCAGGTCCACGTCCTCAGAAAAGCAGGTGACTCCTCGTCACTGCTAATTCCTTCCTCCTGCCGGCGGGGGCGGGGTGGGTGAGGGGCAGCGCCTCAGCCCCCTCGTCCTACTGTCGAGAACCAGGGGCCTGCGTTAACCTAACACAGCTTTCTCTATTATGTTTGTGGAGAACAGCCTTCCTTAAAAACAGAATAAACAGGCATTCTCACTCAGGGAGCTTCTTTAAAGAAATAAAAAGCTGGAAGAGGGTCAGTGAGGGGCCAGCTCTCAGCGCATCCACGCACCATCCATCTCCACGAGCATCTGGTTCAGCGTGTTCTCCTGCTCACTCTGGCCTCCAAGGTGCCCGCGGCCACGCTTCCTGCCAATAGCATCAATCTCATCAATGAATAAGATACAAGGCGCATTTTTTCGGGCCATTGCAAACATGTCATGGACCTGCAACGGGAACCCACAGTCTATTTCGTTACAGGCACCAAGACGGGAACGAGAGTTCATCAACCCAAGTTCTCCCCTCCAGAACCTGCTCTGTTCTGCCACCTGAGTCTCCCTCACACACCTGTGGCAGGCTCTGTGCCTGTCGCCAGGGCCCCACACAAAGCATGGGCTGTCCTACTCAAGAGCAAGCAACATCCACCTACCCTCGCTGGCCCGACGCCGACAAACAGCTCCAGGAACTCTGACCCATTCACAGTGATGAAAGGCACGCTGGCCTCCCTGGCAGTTGCTTTGGCAAGAAGTGTTTTGCCCGTCCCAGCAGGACCAGTGAGCACGGCTCCCTGAAACAGAAAGGCGGCAGATGGTTCTTAAAGGGTTCTTAAAGACAGCACCCAGAGGAAAGAGGCCTGTTTCCACTGAAACAGGCAACTTCTAGGACTAAGGAGAACCTCATCAGACGATGCACCACTCATGGAGACCAGGGTTTGTTTTCCTGTTAATATTTTCTGCCTATAAAATTAATGCATATTCACTATAAAAAGCTCAAGTATTATAGACATTAATACAGAAAACGAAAGCCCTCATACCCCCAACCAGCTGAGCAGGTGAGTTACTCAGAAAAAGGCCCCAAGGGTAGGACTTGCTGGATCAAAGGGTCTGAATGTTTAGTTTAACATCTACTGTCAAACTGCTCTCCAAAGTAGTGACCCCGATTCATACCCCGCCAGGAAGAACAGGAGCCCACTCCCCAGATCTCAGGCCACAGAGAAGCCTGTCCAGCTTCACAAACTAGCTGGCCTGCCTTTGGCTATGAAGGCGCACTGTGTGGTCACCGGCACCTGTGGTGGCCTGTCTGTGACTTGCCTTTTTCTATGCTGACCTAAGGCTTAAAAATCACCAATTCACGCCCGTCTACCATGCTTTGGTGTCCGTTGGATGGATCATTATCGTGCCTGAACACTGAAGAGATTCAAGCGGGGCTCGTACGGCTCCCTTTCTAGTCAAGGGTGTGGGTTGGTGTCTCAAAGGAGACCATGAGGGTTGTTTTCTTATTTAACAACAAAAACAAAATGCTCACATAAAGTTGGGGAGTGAGCCATAAACCTCAAACCCACAACAAGGCGTTGGGATCCCACATCCCCTCAAGCATGGAGGTGGGGTTCACAGACGCATCACAGGCCACCATGTGTATGGTCTCAAGCTCCATCCCCGCCAGTCACACAGACGGCCGATTCTTCGAGACAGGGAGGCAGTGGAACCCAGGGTACACGTGCCCACAGTCATGGCAGGTCATTTTAGGAGCTGTCATCCTACCCACCCAGAAGGAGCTGGAGAGCCATGTGGGCCCCGACATCCTCACACCACAGACTGACAGAGCCCCCTCCCTCCAGCCCAGGCCTGGCTGGTGGGCAGTACTCCAGGTGAGAAGACTTTCCTGGGTACTTGACTGTTCCGCCCCCTCTGTTTATCAGAGGCATTTTCCCAGGAAATGTAAGCCCCTGAAAGAAAACCTGAAAAGCAAACAGCAGCATCCACTGCGATACCCAACCGCTGAGCCAAAGTGAGTGAGAGCCGGACTTGCTGCTGCAAAGCTCCAACAGGGGCGAGGGGCAGCCATCAGCACGCTGTCCCACCCACCAGACTGTAGGAGTACCACCTCCCGCCCTCTCCTCCCCAGGCTCACGATTCTGGGTTGTTGCTCAGGACAAACTGTCCAGTGGCACCTACTCTGCAGGGAGGAGCTGGGAGCAGCATGGGGCTACTGCGAGGGTCTGTGTGGAGAGCACCATCTGCACAGGGGCTCTTGGCCTGGTGCAGAGGCTGGGGATGACCTGAAGGGTCTGTGAGTCAATTTTGTGTGAGATGCAAAACTTTCTGGGAAAACAATTTATGGCTTCTGTCAGGCCCTCAAAAGGTCCGCGACACAAAAGACACCAGCAGACAGACCCAGCGGCCAGAATCCCTACGGCTCCAGGTCCCCTGTACCCATGCCCACACTGCCCACCTGTCCCACCTGCGGGGTCATGGGTCACGGAGTAAAACACTTGTTTCTCCAAAAACTAAGTCAAAGGATTTGGATAATAAAGCAATAAAGGCAAACTGCTAAAAAAAAAAAAAATGCTGCTGAACTGAGTATGTGAGAAAATACTAAAAGAGTAAAAGTCATAAAAGTATAGGAGATTCTGCACTGATTGCTTCTAAATTCTCACTTCAATTTAGAGAAATAAAATTATAGACAACACGTGGTTATACAGGACATTTAACAAAGAATTTTGATCACTGGAACCAAACACAAAGGAAGAGCTGGCCTATGAAGGAGAGACCATTAAAGGACACACATTTTAAGCTAAAAATTTTAAGCTAAAAATAAACACACTTCAGATGGACATATATTGTTCCTATGACTGCACAGTTTCACAGTTAAAAAAATAACGCACACTGGGGCTGGCCCCGTGGCCGAGTGGTTAAGTCTGTGCGCTCCGCTGCAGGCGGCCCAGTGTTTCGTTGGTTCGAATCCTGGGCATGGACATGGCACTGCTCATCAAACCACGCTGAGGCAGCGTCCCACATGCTACAACTAGAAGGACCCACAACGAAGAATATACAACTATGTACTGGGGGACTTTGGGGAGAAAAAGGAAAAAATAAAATCTTTAAAAAAAAAAAAAAAAAAATAACGCACAGTGTTCCAAGTCAGTGAGATAGGAGGATTTTCACTGTTCTACTCTGCAAATGCTATTTCCACTTTCTACTACGATTAATAAAATACAGAGTCACTGCAAAAGCAAAGCTGTCAACAGCTGTCGACACTGAGCCACAGTGATGCCGGCTTTGGGTGGAGCTCAGCATTATCACATTTTCTGAAATCAATACCTTTGGAATTTTGGCTCCTAAGTCCTGATACTGCTTGGGGTTCTTCAGGAAATTCACAAACTCCATAATCTCCAGTTTGGCTTCTTCACAACCAGCTACATCTGCAAATCGCACGTCGACGTTCTTCTTTAGGATCTTGGCCGTCGTCTCCCCAACACTGAAGAGGCCCCCTGCACGCCTGTCACGCCCAGCCCCCATCGGGCCCCTCCTCGCAGCATACAGGAGGATGCCCACCAGGAGGAGGGTGGGCACCAGGCTTCGCAAGAAAGAGCTGGAAAATCCAAGAAAACCCTTCGTCACGTTCCCTCAGGAGACACCAGAAATATTACCTTCAGACCATGAAGAGTAGAATGCTCTGAAACTTTGTTTTGCTACACAAAAGGGAGTAGCTTCTTTTCAAAATGTGTCCAAGTCTGTACACAGCATCCAGCCTTCCCCCAACTCTGAAGGCTCTCATCCCAGCACGTCTGTCTGCTGACGTAACCTGTGGGTGCCAGGAGCCCTGCCCTCAGGAAGTGCCTCCAGCAGACCCAGCATGGCCTCCTCAGAGCTGGGCCCTACTGGCCCATCATGCCAATTTTTAAGGCTGCCTAGCTAAATATTTCCCTGATCGATTCTCTCTTAAAAAAAAAGAGAGCTGGCAGCTCTTACTGCCCATGGGTCCTGTCCCCATGCTACTCCATGCTATTCTCTGAATAACGGAGCACTACCGCCAGGAAAAAAAAAGAGAGAGAGAGCTAACAGATTTATTGTTTGTTACAAACACTAAATATTAGTGGATGCCAGTAACAGGCTTGAAGGAAGCACATTCCAAAACAGATTAAAGGCTGATTTGTTCTGTGTTCAGAACCAGAGGCCCGGACTGGAGGCCCGCTGCTCACCCATCGCTCTCAGTGGTGTAGATCACTGCCGTCTGGTTGTGGGGCTCAACGCCCAGCTCCCACTGAGCCATCGTCAGATTCCGCTCAAAGATGTCCACACTGCCGATGTTAAACCACACGAACGTCTGCAGAGACGGAGGCCCAAGAGCAGCTTCAGGCTGCCCCTCCCCACGGCCGCCGCCTCACTCCCCAGCCCCTCGCCCAGCAAGGCCCGAGTCTAGCTCTGAAGGGAATGCTGCTAAGAGCCCCACTAAACCACGGGCTGTAGGTTCTGGATGAAAGTATAAAATGCTGCAGCAACTCTAATGCCTGCCTCTGCCCCTTCTTTTTTCTTTTCATTCTTCTTCCAAATCTTGGCTAGTGGTTCTGACATGTTACTTGGCAAAACTAAATCACAGTTATAGTCTTATAAGGGCCTCCTGTTCTGGCTGGAAGACTGTTACTGACATGTGTCAATAAGACAAACACCCAATTAACACAGGTTGCTGTTGGATAGGGAAACAAGGGGAGGCATTTCTCTGCAAAAACAGAAGACTATACTCTATGTAAAAAAAGCCTATGTCTGGAGCACTCTGCCCTGAACCCAGCACTCACCTCGGACGAGGTCCCAGGGGCAGGAATAACACGCACAAACTGTTTGCTCACGACTTCCAGCCGGTCCACCTAGGAAAAAGAGAAACCAATCCCAACAGCTGAGGCAGCGAGCAGCACAGCCAACAGCAAATTCTGGGCCTCCGTCCTCAGACGCGTCCCACACCCAGACCGACTACCCGAGACACAGCTTATGCTCTGCGGAACACATCTGCTTTGTTTCCCTACTAACACAGGGTATGAATTTATTCCCATTTTAATAAACAGGTACCAATTCAAGAATAGGAATTAAAATTTGGTACATCTGAGCACCAAGATTCCAGACTAGCTTAAAAATCCAAAGGAATAAGAATGAAAGACTTATACTGACAATAGAGTGAAGTCTGAAATCCAGAGCTGATTCAGGAACATTCTGTCCACTCAGCTGCAGGTACCACAAGAAAATGATGCCAGCGAGAAGGAAAATGTACCCCAAAGCCCAGGAGCCGGTGTCGCCTCTAAACCCAGCCATCCGAAAGCTAATGTGCCCCTCTGGGAAGCACTTCAAAGACAGGACTGAGGGGTGGGCCCCGTTTCGCTGGTTATAATGGGAATTTCATTGCTTGTTGCTCTAAACAGCATCTTAAATCACAACAACATAGCTCCTTTTGGAAACTAAATGTGGACTTAGGGTTGTGAGGAGGACGTGTTCCTAAGTGGGTACCTTACAATCACAACAGTATGGTCTTTACCCAACAAACTTCTGAATACCCCTGTGACACAGCTGTATACACATGGTATTAAAAGTACTCAGAGCGACCAAAGGTTCCAGCTTCCCTTTGGCAACATGCAGAGTCCCCAGAGAACAAGACCCCAACAGCCGTCACATCGATGACACAAGAGCATGGTCATCCTCGCTGCCCCTTATCATGCTGCAATCTTTTACTTTCTGGATCACTGCCCAGCAGACCTGTCATGCTTTCTCCAACACAGTGCACTATCGCCTGAGTGCGTGACTGGACATGGGGAGGTCAGAGAGGCAGGGGACGAGACAGTGAGCACCTATGCATTCGCAGGCCAGGAGGGCCACAATGAAAGCCCAATCTTGGTCATCAGAGGATGGTGACTTCCTTCTTTATATTTTTATTTATTTCTCAAGTATTTCTTACAATAAGCATGTGGTCTGTTTATAATCAAGAAAGACAACAAAGCTGTTTTAAAAGCAAGATCGCTACTGAAGTTTTAGGGTATTGTAGTTTTTCATTCCCAAATAAGCCCTTCACAAAACAACATCTGTTCCAAGCCACAGACTTGGAAATGCATCGGGGCTCCAGGGTGGTGGTGCATGAGTTAACTTACTTCCGTGATAGCCTAAGATATTATTAGGGGATCTCCTTAGAAGAATCAGGAGGGGCTGGGAGAGGACACAGCACTCGTGTTCACACGCTAGGCTTTTCCAGTTTACACGGAAGTTCCTCTAAGTGAGCAGGAGTGGGTTCCTGGACTGCCTGAGCCAGAAGAGAGGCTCCCACTACGCACCATAGGAGCGGAGCACACGGCTATGTCAGCAGGCTGGGGAGGGATTACCTCGCCCTTCCAGGCTGTGGTTCAGAATGAGTGTGTCACTATCAGCATGTCAGACCTCTAGGAAACTCTGGAATCTGTCCAGAGTGCATAGACAGGAGAACACCTGTCTCCCTCCTCACAGCCACACCTACAGGGGTCATCTGTCTCCCTCCTCACACACCTGCAGGAAGACATCTGTCTCCCTCCTCACAGCCGCACCTGCAGGGGGACATCTGTCTCCTTCCTCACAGCCGCACCTGCAGGAAGATATCTGTCTCCTTCCTCACAGCCGCACCTGCAGGAAGACATCTGTCTCCCTCCTCACAGCCGCACCTGTAGGAAGACATGTCTCCCTCCTCACACACCTGCAGGGGGACAGCTGTCTCCCTCCTCACAGCTGCACCTGCAGGGGGACATGTCTCCCTCCTCACACACCTACAGGGGGATATCTGTCTGCCTCCTCACAGCCGCACCTTCAGGAGGATATCTGTCTCATTCCTCACAGCTTCACCTGCAGGTGGACATCTGTCTGCCTCCTCACAGCCACACCTGGAGATGGTAGGTCCTGGGCAGAGGGGGGCTGCAATAGCTCTTCCCTCACGCTGCAGGAAGCGTCATCAAGGGCCTCTCTGAGGACAGATGTCGGGCAGATGACAAAGGCCTCGGCCATAGCCCTAGTGGAAACTAACAGCTTCCTAGGGACGTCATCCCAGAAGGAAGTCTAGCTCTTCACAGCGTGCCACTGAGGGCAGGAGAGGAGTAAGGCCTCTGCTCTCGCAGAAGTTTACATAAGCCTGAGCAGCACTTCACTCGACCTCAGCATCCTGAAGGATAAACCCAAGTCCTGGGAAAGTCAAGCCAGGGAGGGCTCTGCTGGCAACACAAAGCCCAGGGTTGACAGCGCTGGCCCACACTGTGCTGGGCCAGCCAGTGGGGCAGCGTGCACTAAGAGGAGAGAAGCTCTGAATCAGATACAAGATCGAAACTTAAAGATAAACAAACAGAACTAAGTCTTAGAAGCAAAAGCAAAGGAAAGATGAAGTTAGCCATGATCTCAAGGGACTTCCACCCAGCAAGAAAGTGGGCATGACAGTGCTCGGTGGGCTCGTTACTGGAAAAAGTAAAACCGTGTCTTGTCTGTACCCGAGGCTGGGACTGCTTAGGATTCCTGCTCACAGACCGTGTGCACCACCTCCTTCCAGGACAGACTGTAAATCCTCTCACCAGACCTCTCGCCAGGTAATACTGCACGAAGTGCTTCCACGTGATTTCTTTCCCAGGATCTCGAAAATACAAGTAGAAGGCAACACCTGCCCCCAAAACCACCAGACTGCGGAAATCCTTGTCGTCCCAGGGGAGCTCGCCCTGTGGAAGATCAACAGTTCAGTTACACAAGGTGGCTCCTTCACGACACAGCTGCTTCCTCCCCGTGACGTCCTGAGAGCAGCTGTCCAAACCTGCCTCCTCACACTGCCCCTGGAGGGCTGTGCGTGGTGACGCCAAGGCCAGTTCTCTCAGGAGGAAAGACTGCACAGGGCATGAGCACACACTGCAAGCCGCAGCTCACCAGACCCCCCAGAGGAGCCTCCACAAAGGGCTGCCTTCAGAGCCATCACTTCCGGGGCTGTTACCTCTTATCTGAGTCTTTTTAAAATTCAGATGGAAATCTCCACATTTTTATAAATTAAACTCATTTCTTAGAATCCTTGATTCAGCTTGCACCGAAATCAGCAGAGAGGCTGTACAAAGCCTGAGCTACAGGACCATTTCCTTGGGAAAGCAACAGGGTCTGGAGCTCAGACACGCACAAACCTTCTGCATCCGCTTCCACCAGGCAGAGTCATCCTGCTTCCCTCCTCTCTGGCCTCCATCTGCTCCAGGCCCAGCACTTTTTGGTTCACCAGTTCCTGAGAGAAAACAATCATACATAACTTTCCAACATACGATTTTCCTAACACTGGTGCTTTCTGGAGATAAACAGGGACAAGGAGAGGAGGAGCTGGAGGTGGCACTGGAGTGGGCGGCGTCCTGTTCCGAAGTGGGCAGGGAAGCAGCAGTGCTCGGCTCAGCTCAGGGCTTAGGTTAGGGTGGCGGAGGCTGCCCGGCCATAGCTTCAGATACATGTAAAATGCCTCCAGTTTCACCTTGCTGGCTCCAGACCCAAACTTTAATAGTAACTCTTTCTGGGGTAACAGTCACCTTGCCACACCACTAAGTGGGGAACAGAAAGGAAGGAAGAAAGTGACAAGAGACTGGGACAGGTGGACCCTCTGTGGAGGTCCTCTGCTCAGGAAAGCCAGAACTCAGACCTCCGGCTCTCAGGCACGGTCCCCTCTCCTCAGAACACTGTGACCCAGACACTAGACGGCGGAACCTAGCCCTGCAAGCCTCTTCCTGCAACACACGTACATGACGCACGGAACAGTTCCAATCACACAAGTCCAAGGCCATAAGCATCCCTGAAGCCCCGCCCTTCTGTTAGGTGCAAAGAACGTGTCGAGGGCGATGGGTCTGACTCAGGACGTGCCCATCTGTGGTCTAATGCCCCATTTCCTCTACATACAGTCTATGGGTCAGGGGGCTTGAACGGTCCTAGAAAGCTGGGCACATCCAAGGAGAAAAACCGTCCTTTCCCTTGTAACTAAACCAATTACACTTGCGATTAAAATTATCAAAAGGTACTTTAGCACACACAAAAACGACAAGGGGAAAAACGTGAAACGAAAGCAAATAACTGCTATCACAGTATCTGCCAGGAAGTTAGCTTTGACCTCTGTAATGTTTAATTTATAATAAGAAACACATTTGATCTTCCTAGCAGAAGCTCCTAAAACCCTTAGAATTTCCTAGGTGATAAAGATGTCTTTTGTTATTCATAACGAGCCCCTCCAAGGTACCCCAGTCTGTGTTAATGAGGTGACTTTGGAAAGCCCCTAAGGAGTGGGGCTGGCTGCCAGGAGAACCAGCCAGTGATTTGAGGGTTGGAACTTTCAGCCCCACCTTCCCACCTCTGGGGATGGGGCTGGAGGTTGAATCAGTCACCAGTGGGCAATGATTTAATCACTCATGGGAACAGCAATGAAGCCTCCATAAAAACACAAAAGGACAGGGTCTGGAGAACTTCTGGGCTGCTAGACAAGAACAGATCCACATACTAGAGAGTGGCCTGCCCCAAACTCCAAGGGGACAGAAGCTCCAGTACCAGGGACCCTTCTGGACCTCGCCCTGTGTATCTCTTCATCTGGCTGTTCATTCCCATCCTTTAATATCGTTTGTAATAACCCCATAATCTAGTAAGTCAACTGCTTTCTGGAGTTCTGTGAGCCACTCCAGTAAATTAACAGAAGCAGAGGAGGGGGTTGCAGGAATCTCTGATTTACAGCAGCTGGTCAGAAGCACAGCTGATGATGGGACTAGTGACTGATGTCTCAAGGGTGGGTGGGGGCACTCCTGCAGGACTGAGCCCGTAACCTGTGGGATCTGATGCTGCCTCCCAGCAGACAGTGTTAGGTCGAGTTGAGCTGTAGGACACCCAGCTAGTGTCGCAGAACTGCTTGTGGGGGGAAACCTCCACACACACAGTTGTGACCAGAGTGAAGTACTAAGAGTAGAGGAGACACACAGGAATGAGTTTTTCATAAGAACCTGGGAAACTAACCCAAAACTTATAAAAAAATTCCCAAGTAAGGAAAAGGTAGTGAAATAGTGGCTTTTGAGAAAGCAATCACCTCCTCAGGCAGGCAATCTGTCCACGGCCACGTCTCTTCACAGCCAGTCGATGACAGAAAACGTAAGCGCCTGAGCAAGAAGCACGACACTCATAAAGGTTCCAGAACGAGCCATGGTGCAGCCCCTCGCACACACATCGCCACTGAAACAACCCAAAACTAAGCCTGGAAGCCCCAAGGCCTAGGGGACCCCGGGAATGGCCAAACATATTATGGGATATAGTAAAAATTTGCATGAATTTTAAGGACAAAAACGAGTCTTCAAATAAATGCTATATTTGTAGCAAAGCATGTTAACAGACCTCCCAACATGCTTTTATGGGCCTCTTCTTATTCCCGGCTCTTGGGTACCTGAGCAGGAAATGTTTCACAGGAGAAACCCATCTGATAAATACTGACTTCACCAATCCACATCACCAAGCTGTGATGGGATTTAAAAGATGGACATGCCGAGGCTTAGGACGCGAATGAGCTGCAGAGGCCCCGACAAAAAGACAAAAGGTGGAGGAACTTGGCATGACAGCAACATCCATGAGCAAGCAGAGGGAAGAGCATGCCACACCACACGCGGACAGGCCCGCCTGCCTGTCACCTCCCAAGGAGAGTAACTCAAAGATTAGTAACACTTTATAAATACTCACAGGTGAAACTGCTGACAGTCTGATTTGTCAAACTGGCCCTTTTACTTCTCTTTGGAGTTGTTTTTTCTAAGTCTGTGTTTCTTCCACTCCTTTTAAAGAACTTCTCAAACCCTTAGGGACAAAACGATGAGGTTCTAGCACTTTAAAAGCACGCATCACACTCAGATAAGCAGCCATACTGTCCACCAGGACAGAGAGAGTGAGCAGTCCAGCCTTCCTTCCTGACTTCTTACTGGAAGCAATCGCCATGCTCCTCCAAGTCCTAACAATGGGAGAACAAGAAGTGTGGACAAGTGCCTTCTGCTCAAGCCTCCACACACGGGATCTCCAGGGGGTAGAGCACTGAGCAGAGGTCCACAGCCTGCTCTGAGGGGCAGATGTGTTCCAGCCAACTGCAGTCTGCATATCGTCTCTGTTCTGCTTTCCAAACATGAGACTTAGTTTGCTGGCCCTCAGATGTGCAGAAACAAGGCTTGTTTCCATGCATTCCAAAAGATTCACCTAGCAAGTTCCTTCTGACAGTTTCTCCTCATCATCTTCCCTGAGATAAAACCGTAAACACGTGAAAAAGTGCTGCAGTGACCCAGAAATGGGAAGAGCTAAGTGTGGCCAATATGGAAGTGAAAAAAGGGGGGAAGTGGGCAGCATCCTGAGTCATCACACGCCCCCTCCCCTGATTCCCCACTGTGGGGAGACACTGAGGCAGCCACACTCAGTTCCAGCAAACCTTATGCTGCTAATGATGGTAGACGACAGACAGGTACCTCCAGGTGGTTTTGAACACAGCCACTGGGAAAACAGTGTCAGTCTCACCCGCGGAGCCAGCTGCTGAAAGTGGATCCCATGAAGGAACTGAAAGGAGAGAGAGGATTAGCTGCTTCTGCAACTTGATGGGCTGAGATGCAAGCTTGCTGCCTTATTTATCTGCTTAAATGTCCCATTAAAAATACTATTCAGGGGCTGGCCCCATGGCCGAGTGGTTAAGCTCGCGTGCTCCGCTGCAGGCGGCTCAGTGTTTCGTTGGTTTGAATCCTGGGCGCGGACATGGCATTGCTTGTCAAACCACGCTGAGGCAGCGTCCCACATGCCACAACTAGAAGGACCCACAATGAAGAATATACAACTATGTACCGGGGGGCTTTGGGGAGAAATAAAATCTTAAAAAAAAAAAAAAAACGATTCAAACAGGATAAACAGAAACTAAATTCACTGCAGAAATGCATAAAGATTTTTTTTTATAGCTACAACTCTCAAAAAAACCCAACCATTTCTTCCCTGAGGCAACTTTGATCACTGAAACTATTGCAGTCTCAAAAACAAACGTGATTCTAAGATTAAAATCATGTGAAATTTAAAAACCAAAGGGTACTACGATTTATCTTTTATTAGCCAAAACTCAGTGTTTTTGTCATGCCAAGGAAAGCAAACGCTTTTCCAGAGCTGTATTTTCTTGTCTACAAGGAGGAAAATGCCAGTTTTTACCATAAGCCATTAACAATACTTAACATCAATTAAGAACAGGACTAGAGACAACCAACTTAGATTTTCCACTATTATAGGTCAAAAGCCATTATTGCAACAACGAGCACAATAAAAGCCACCACACCAGAAAACAAAACCTGCATATACTCAACAACCCAGGATTACTTGTATTTAACAAAATCCCAACCCAACCAAGGATCTGTCCCAAATATTTTATTTTATTTTTTCCCTTTTCCCCAAAGCCCCCCAGTACACAGTTGCATATTCTAGTTGTAAGTCCTTCTGGTTGTGGCATGTGGGACACCGCCTCAGCATGGCCTGATGAGCGGTGCCATGTCTGCGCCCAGGATCCGAACCGGTGAAAACCTGGGCCACTGAAACGGGGAGCGTGAACTCAACCATTCGGCCACGGGGCTGGCCCCCCAATGTTTTATGATGATGAAAATGGATCCACAGGTGATGACACCGGTGTTTCTCCAGCCGTGCCATCTTTCACAGTGAGGCAGGCTATTCCCCAAAGTAAACTCATTCCCCGAGGATTACTAACTTGCTAATTAGCCAAATTATTCAAATATGCCTCTCAAAGGCCATAGTGGACTAAAAAGTCAGGTAAGCTATGAGAAAGATATTAAAATCAGGAAAACATCCAAACAGGGAAGCTCAGAAAGGAGACGTAGCCAGTAATGGTGAGGAAGCTACCTGGCACTTCTGCACCACTAATGAGGCCTCCCTGCTGCAGCAGCTCACCCCGCACAACAGCCCAGAGCTCACCTGGAAGAAACAATGCACCCACAGAGATGCCACAGAAGTGTGTCACTGTGAGCAGAAATCTAGACAAAGGAGCACGGAAGGCGGTGGGTGCCAGGAGCTTCTGTCACCTCCTCCGATCCTCACGGCCCATTCTGAGGAAGGAGGTGCTGCCATCCCCACCGCACAGCTGGAAGAGCAGAAGTTCAGAGGGGTGCATGCCTGCAGTAAGAGAGCCAAGAGCTGGTGATGTGGGATGAGAATTCTGGTGCCCAAACCTCCCAGGGCTTCTCCAGCATCGCCCAGAGAAAAAGGAGCTGTTGGTGTGAAAGAGTTATCTGGTGACCTGCAGCCCTAGGGATACAAAGTACAACGCTAAAGCCTTCAAAACTTGATGAAACCTCCAATTCCTGGGGCCAGCTTGGTGTATAGTGGTTAAGTTTGCATGCTCTGCTTAGGTTGCCCAGGGTTCACAGGTTCAGATCCTGGGTGCAGGCAGATCTAGCACCACTCGTCAAACCATGCTGTCACGGCATCCCACATAAAATAGAGGAAGACTGGCACAGATGTTAGCTCAGGGCCAATCTTCCTCACACTCACACACACACACACACACACACACACACACACACAAAAATCCAATTCCTTTATTTCAATTGATGAGTTAATCCTTTTCTGATTTGATTAGGGGACCACATTAGGTCAGATGCAGCTCTAGAAGACACAGGTCTACCACCAGTTCTTGGTGTTTGGTTTTTAAACTGGCCTTTGCATATGCAAAGCCAAGACAAGAGCGAAGCGGGGCACACCAAGGTCTCCTTTAAACAGGCAAAGTGCACTGTCCTTTCTTCCCAGTTAAATAATGAATCAGGTGACCCTGGTCTGTGTCTCAGATTCACACAGCTGCAGGCCCACCAGGCATCTGCTACTCAATCTCTGAGCGAGAGGCCGGCCCCACGGCCAAGTGGTTAAGTTCACACGCTTCCTCAGGCCAGGGTTTCACTGGTTCGGATCCTGGGCACGGACATGGCACCACCTGTCAGGCCACGTTGAGGTGGCATCCCACATAGCACAGCCAGAAGGACCTACAACTAGAACATACAACTATGTGCTGGGGGGCTTTGGGGAGAAGGAAAAGAAAAGACTGGCAACAGATGTTAGCTCAGGTGCCAATCTAAAACAAAAAAGAAAAAGAAAAACAAACAACAACAAAAATCAATCTGCAAGCGAGCTCCCACTCACTTGCTCACTTCCTTCAGGAGCTGACTATTCCACCTACAAAGTGTGACATTCATCCTCCTCCAACCCTTCTCTTTATTTTCCACTTCCCTCATTCTGCTTCCTTCTCTTTCATACCTCACATATAACCAACTAACATGCCATAAACTTGTTTGTTATCTGGATCTCCTCCTTGCGTGGCAGGAACAGTGTGGAAAGCTCACTGAATGAAAAAATGACTGCCGGGGTCCTGCCCCGGCGGAGTCCAGGTTCCTGAGGGATGGACGGCGTCGGCGCAATGAGGGGAAAATAAAGGGGATGTGAGACTTGGGTTGGTGTTAGCAAGTCCGACTTTACTGTGCACAAGTGTCGTTTATATATTTTTCAGGATTAGTACAGAAATAGTTCTACAAATATTCTCAGAGAGATAAGGAAGTAAAAAATGAGCACAAGAATATTTATTAGCATTCCATTCTATAGAGCATAAGGTTAATGATCGTCTTCTCCACAATTAACTAGTGTTTGTTGTCTCTAAGCTAAAGGAGATAGGTACCTAGGCATCTGTTGTAATTCATGGTAAAGTTAAATCAAAGAGAGAAGGTCCAGGCCTCCGGACAGGACAGCAATCTGTCTGGTTACATCCTGGTGGAGCCATCCCTGCCTCCCTCAATCATTTACGCCATTAGTGTACATGGTTAATGGGAACAAAAGGCGAGTCCAGAGTATCTTATCCCCAGGGCTATCTGCATTCTCAGTGGGCAGTTAAACATCTTTACATTTTTGCGCCCTTTAGGGGGTGAAAGCATTCCTTTGTCTTTTAGATTGTGGAGCTAACAGTCCCTTAAGCACGCTGCCGGAGAAAGTATCATTTTGTTAGTAAAGTAAAGGGCTGAAAAGCTAGGCTAAACTATATATCTTCAAGAATAAAAAAGAAATAAGTTAGACATAACCTTGCTAGAAAGCATGCATATAATTCAGAAAATATCAGGGGTGTCGGCCGGCCATTCTTCACCGAGGGGCATCCCTGCACCTCTCGGCCCTTCTACTCATCAATTATTTATTATTTATTGCTTTTAGGAGAAAACCTCTATAACGTTTTAACAGAAAGCAGAAGGTCAAGAATAATATATAGATACTTCTTGATCATCCAATTAACCAGCAAACTTAGAAGGACGATGCATATATATATTTAGACAAAGAACTGGAGGGAGAAGGAAACATTAACCAGATAGAGGCCATAAACCTAATTCGACATCTTATCTGGACAGGATTCCTTTCTGCTTGTCTCAAATGGGACTGTGTGCTCCTCCGTTAATTAACCGAAAAATATCTTGAAAGTTACCTGCAGGTGGTCACATTCTCTTACTATATTTAATTTTCCCGGGAGGTAGTGCCTCCCAAGCAGCCACCCAAAGGAGTGAAAACTGGAGGTTAAGAAAGGAAAAGGAATGAAGGGCAATTAGAAGCAGCACAGGTTTCAGAACTGTGTGAGGGGCTGGCCGGTTATTCTTCACCAAGGGGCGACCCTGCACCCCTCAGCGTTAATCGGCTGGACCCTGTCAAACAGCCGATCAAATGATGTAGCCACGGCTCCCAGCAAATGACTGCATGGAAGCCTCCAGAACATAAGCTTCCCTTGGTGGGTGCTCACTGTTAGGGTAGATCTTTCAACTATGAAGTAGGTTGCCACTGCCTCTCTGGCCTTTGCATGCCCCACTCAGCCTACGAATCAGCAAGTCCTCAAGGGAGAGCAGCCCACGGGGCAGAACCCCCGCCTGTCCTGTTCACCATCATGTCCCCTGGCCGGCAGTTTGTCAACAGGCGAATGACTCAGTCTGGAAAGGAACTTCCTCCCTTCATCACTAAAACCACCGAGGTCCATGCAGGTCCAGCGGCTCACAGGACACCTGTGCTGTACCGTCAATTACTCACTTCCACCACACATTAACAAGCAGAACAGTCCCCTGCCATGCTGAGATGCCATGTGGCTACAGGTGAAAGGCTCTGCTTTCACTGATATTGCTAGAAACAACTTAAATCTGACATGCACCGTCTCCAAAATGAAGAGATGTGAAAGGGGAAAGTTCATTCCTGAAGACAAGACAGAAAATAAACCCAAAGAATCCTTCTTCCTCTTTCACTTCTATCTGAAAAGTAAGACACCTTTCTTGGAGCAAAATCCAAAAACTCCACATCAATGCATTAGGAAAAAAAAAAGTCAACGTGATCACTGCCCCCTGGGATGTATCAATACAAAAATACAGCCATTGTTCCAAAATATGGAATAATATTCATAGCGCCTAACCCAGAGAATAGCATATAACACAGAGGTATTTAAAAATTAAGGCAGTAGGAGACCGGCCCGGTGGCACGACGGTTAAGTGCTCACGTTCCACTTCTAGGCGGCCCGGGGTTTGCCGGTTCGGATCCCGGGTGTGGACGTGGCACCACTCGTCAAGCCACGCTGTGGCAGGCGTCCCACATACAGAGTAGAGGAAGATGGGCACAGATATTAGCTCAGGGCCGGTCCTCCTCAGTAAAAAGAGGAGAACTGGCAGTAGTTAGCTCAGGGCTAATCTTCCTCAAACAAAAATAAACAAATAAATAAACTAAAATAAAATCATGAAAAATGGAGGCAGTAGGGCGGGAGGGACCTGAACTGCAAGGTGAGAGCAGCTGCTGACCAGCTTTGGTCTTATATTTCCCTTCTATAAAAGAGGCTCACAGCAGAGCCTACCTGCAGGACTGGTACAAGACTTTAATGAAACAATCCGGGTACAGTCCTCAGCACGGAAGCCCTCAAGCAGTATTAGCTGTTATTAAAGCGCCAGAGTTGGGCTCAACGAATGTCGGCCAAATAAGAGACACTAACAGGTCACAAAACTCGTTCACGTCCGAAACCATACCTGGTTGGGGAGCAACTAAAGCAGAAGTAATATCCCCGCTGAGCGCAGGAGTACATGGGCTTGCGGTCGGAGCGAGGCGCCCAAGAAGACACGGTAAATTAGCAGCGGAGCGGAACACGAGCGCTAACTGCTCCCGTGGGGCTCTCTGGAGGCGGGAGCAAGGAGGCCGGCGGCACCGGCTCGCCTCCCGAACGGAGCCGGCAGAGGCAGCGGGGCCCTCCGGAGGAAAGGGTGGCAGGTGCCGCCAGGGAAGAGCAGGGTGTTCGGAGGACGACACGCCCGGGCAGGGACAGCCGCCCCGCTTCTCCGCTCCCCCGCGCCAGCCGGCGCGCCCGGATGGCGTCACCGCAGCGTTGCGCGCAGCCGCCGCCCCCGCCGCCTGGAACCGACGGGCAGCGCCTCCCCACTCACCTGCCGGACGGTTCCGAGGGTCCTCAGGCCTGTCCCGGCCAGCCTGCTGCCTCCTGGGCCACCGCCGCATCGCCACAGCACTGCGAGCGACCCGACCACCACTCGGCTGCCGACCGCCACCACCAGCCGGCGCCTCGCGCCCCGCGGCAAGCCTCGCGCCCCTCGGCGCGCGCACGCGCAAACTAGCGGCAAACCGGCCACAGTGACGCCACACCCTCAAGCCGGCCCCCGCGGGCTCGGGGAGGCCTGGCTCATGCGCAGTAAAGGTACTGCGCCGGCTCGGGGACCTCTCTTTAGGTGTCTACTTTGTCGCCTGACTCTCTAAGAATCTGAACAGGAGCGTAGCCTTGCCCTACGCAGACGGCTGAGTGCAGAAATTACAGCGACCGACTGAGTTTAAGGCTAGGAAGATACCCAGCGCCTTTAGACCTATTTTAAGTCGGGCCTCCCCAAGGACGCGTGTTTCCGGGGTCCTCCATGGGCAGCGGGTCACAAAGTGGAGTGGCGGCTGCTGCTCTTCCTGGGCCGTCGCGCTGCTGCCCGTGCGCTGGGTTCTGCGGTCTCCGGGCTGGTCTCTTGCTCCTCGGTCCTTCGTGAACGAAGGAATCGTGTATGCTACGCAGTATTGTTCCCCTCCACGGATTTTTGTTTGTTTGTCCTCTGGATCACAGACACCTGCAGCTGTGCTGTCCAGGAATTTGGACACTGATGGACGCCAGGGGTCCCTGCCGCCCGGCTTGGGGTCGAGGATGAACCAGCCTGTATCTTGGCAGCGGGGCTGGGCAGGCCTACGGTGACCGTTCCGCGTCTCTGGGGACGTCAGCCTGTGCCTCCTTGCAGCTCTCTTTTCTCTTTCCCAAGTTCAGCAAGGGAGCCCAGAGTAGCCGCAGAACTTCTTGCACCCGAGACTGCTGCGATTTTATTACATTTTGGAAGCAAAGATGCCTGGGAAAAGGCGCCTCAGTGCAGCGGTCATTCCGAGTGCCAAAAGGGAACGGAAAGCAATTACCCTTGATGTAAAATTACAAGTGTTGAGACGATTTGAAGCAGGTGAGAAGCTTAGTGAAATCGCGAAGGCCTTAGGCCTTGCCGTCTCTACAGTGGCCACAATCCGAGACAATAAAGAAAAAATCAAAGCGAGTTCACGAGTAGCTACTCCCTTGAGAGCTTCTCGGCTGACTCGCCATCGGAGTGCAGTCATGGAGACCATGGAGCGATTGTTGCACGTGTGGCTTGAAGACCAGACCCAGCGAAATGTGCCCCTGAGTGTCACCATCATTCAGGAGAAGGCTAAGAGTTTGTTTGATGACTTACAGCGTCAAAAAGGCGAAAGCTCTCGAACAGAAACGTTCAGCGCCAGTAAAGGGTGGTTTGTGAGATTCAAGGAGCGCCATTGTTTGCCCCACTTCAAGATGAACGGCACAGCTCCTGGCCACAAGGACGGGTATCCAGAAGTGCTGAAAAGCATCATACAAGAAGGTGAGTACACCCCCCAGCAAGTTTTTAATGTAGACGAGACAGGGCTTTATTGGAAGAGAATGCCTGAAGGAACATTTATTTCCATGGAAGAGAAAGCTGAGCCAGGGTTTAAGTCATCCAAAGATCGCTTGATGCTGCTTCTTGGTGGCAACGCAGCTGGGGACTTTAAGTTGAAGCCCTTACTGGTGTACCACTCAGAGAACCCCAAGGCTCTGAAGGGGTACTCCAAGCCAAATTTGCCTGTGATTTGGCGCTCAAATAGAAAGGCCTGGGCAACCAGGAGCATCTTTCATGAATGGTTCACATACTTTTTTTGCCCTGCTGTTGAAAAATACTGTGCCCAAAATAATCTCACCAACAAAGCATTGCTCATCCTAGACAATGCGCCATGCCACCCAGTAAATTTGAGTGATCTGTCTGATAATGTAAGAGTGGAATATCTTCCTGACAGCACAGCTGACTCAGTCCAGCCCATGAGTCAAGGTGTGGCCTCTGTCTTCAAAGCTCAGTACCTGAGAAGGACTTTTGAGCACATCCTAGAAGCAACAGATGGGGAGGATACAGCTATAATCAGGGAGTTTTGGAGAAACTACAACATCATGGATGCTGTGGACAACATTGCAGTAGCTTGGGAGGAGCTCAGACCGGCAACAATGAACAGTGTGTGGAAGAAGATTTGGCCCGAATGTGTTCAGTTCCAGAGTGTTTCCCAAACAGATAACATTGCACAGCTTCAACAAAACATTGTTAACCTTGCCAAGAACGTGGCTTTTGGGGAGGTTGTAGAAGGTGATGTGGAGCAGTTGCTGCAGTCTCATGAGGAAGATCTCTCAAATGAGGAGCTGATGCAGCTGGGACAGGAGCCAGCGGGAGAGGAGGACAGCGAGGATACTCCACCTGCCCTGCGTCAACTAACCACAGGAGAACTCTCAGCTGCCTTCTCCCATTTCGAGGCTGGCTTGCAGGTCCTTACCAGTAACAGCCCTAATGATGAGTGGAAACTGAAAGTTTCAAGAGCAATCAATGATGCAATCAACTGCTACAGGGAGTTGTACAATGAGAAAAAGCGGCGCTCAAAGCAACTCTCTTAGGCCATTTTTCAGTGTTGTAACCAAAAGCCAAAATAAAGCCAGAAGCAACAAGATGACCTCAGCGATGAGGCCCAGCCAGACCCTCTGCTTCCAGATGTTTAACATCCCTGGAAACCCTGTTTCTGGGATTTGCATTTTGAAACTCGAGAGTATCAAGTTTTGTCATTAAAATTTTATTTACATATGTGGTTTAAAAAGATTGCATGCAAGAATACCCAGAAAAACATTTCTTTAAGGAAAGCAAAACCACACTGAGACTAGCCCTTTTGGACATTAAAACATACTATAAAACCTCTGTAATTAAAGCAGTGTAGTAGACCTGTGGAATAGAAAATCCAGAAATACATGCGGATAGACTGGGTTTTTTTGGTGAGGCAGATTGGCCCTGAGCTAACAGCTGTTGCCAGTCTTCCTCTATTGTGTATATGGGATGCCACCACAGCGTGGCTTGATGAGCAGTGTGTAGGTCCATGCCTGGGATCTGAACCCACAAACCCTGGGCCACTGAAGTGGAGCATGTGGACCTAACCATTATGCCACTGGGCTGGTCCCAGACCTTTTTTTTTAAGTGGTGCAGGACAACTGCTTAACCATTTGGAGAAAAGTAAAATAAGATCCATACCTCACAGCATATGCAAGAATAAATAAAGAGATCAGGGATCTAAATGTAAAAATTGAAACCATGCAAATACTACAAAAACACATGAGTGAATGACTCTTTGACCTGGGTGTAGGGAGAAACTTTTCTATGACAAAATCCAGACAAAATAAAAAAATATTAATCAGTTTGACCATATAAAAATGTAACAAAACGAAACTTTTCCATGGAGAAGAACACTACAAATGAGGTGAAAGGCAGTTGACAACTGGAAGAAAATGTCTACAGTGCATCTCACAGATGAGTTAATACCCCTGATACATGAGGAACTCTCAAAGATTGAGAAGAAAAAATACCAGACATCTAATAAAGTGGACAAAAGCTATGATTCATAAGTAAATTGGATCTTGAAACATAAGTTCAACCTCGCTCGTACAGAGAGATGCAAATTAAGCCTACACAAATACCATTTCTCACTAACCGGCCTGGTTAATAATCAAAAAGTATGACTCCACGTTTTGTTGTTGAGGCTGTGGTGTAACAGGCGTGCTTGTACATTGCTGGGGGAGTGCAAAGTGGCACAACCCTTATGGAGGGGATTAGACACTAATAAAAAATGGATCTCTTTTTGATTTAGCAATCCCACTTTTAGGATTGTACCCTGAAGCTACATCTCCAAAAAAAGAAAATCCATGTGCACAGATTATTCATTGCAGTCTTGCTTGTAACTGCGAGAGCAAGGAGATATCCTAAATGTTCACACATAGTAGAGTGGTAGAAAATGAAATGGCACCTCCACACCCTGGAATAGAATACAGACACCAATGATAATAATAATAAAATGAGAAAAAAGTCTATGAACTGACGTGGAGTCATTTCCAGGATGTACTATTAATTGAAAAAAGCAACACGCAAGAGTATAGTATGTGACCTTTTGTGGAAGAAAGAAGGAGAAGCGAAATATACATGTATCTTACTCATTTGTGCAAAAAGAAACACAGGAAGGTGAAACCAGAGACTAAAGAGCTTGGTTACCTATGGGGCTCGGCAGGGTGACACTTGACTGAGTGTATCTCTTGTAAAGTTCTGACTTTTGGAACCATGTTAGTATATCACACAAATAAAGGATAGGGAAATAAGACATAAAATGGAATATATGAGTGGAACCCAATTTCACATGAATTACACACCCACAATGAAGGGCGAGAAACACCCAAGTAAATTTAGAACACCATCGTCTGACCGTATGCCCTCACACTGCAGACAAAAAGGAACTGTAATATTAAACTCATTAGTGGACTTGTTTTTCCGAGGCATAGGTCAGCAGTGCTCACAGTGCTTTCTGTGTATTCTAAGGTTGGGCAAATAAATATATTAGGAATAATGGAGCCAGGTTCCTCACTGTGAAGGAAGGGAATCGCAGACATGAAAAAGGTGAAGAGTGAGTCTTGTGGTGTGGTTTTGAAGCTGGAAGTATCAGGGCGAACTCATGGTTTTTAATGTGCTTATAGACAGAAATAGATGTAGGGGGGACTGTTTCCTAGCTCTCTGTTGGAAGGACCTAGAAGCAGTGACAGCCTGGTAGCAGTGCACACATCCAACAACCACCTGTTGTTTACTCACTACTCTTCTCCACTGAAAGGTGCTAGGCTCCTTGGTTTCAGGGCCACAACTGGGAGAGCACAAGAGAGCCTGCAACACCTTGCTATGCTAGAAAGTAAGCGAGTGCCCAAAGAATGACAGGAACGTGCCGAAAGGACACGGGAGACAGGAGGATCAGAGTCAACACCTCCAGGAACGGAACACACGATGCACCAAGGAGATGGCAACACGTCTGTGGAATTCCCACCAAAAGTGCAAAGCCTGAATCCAATCAGGAAAACTCACATTGAAGGATACTCTTCACAATGATTAGCCTGCACTTTTCAGAAATGTTGATGTCATGCACCCTTCCACA